CTCTCCAGACCTCACCCCATGCGTTTCTTCATCTGGGTGTTCATTTCTAGTCTTTAAAATATCCTTTGTAACAAATTTGCAATGGTAAGTAAACTGTTTTCCTGGATCCTGTGAACCTTTTTGGCAAATGATAGAACCTCCAGAACCATTCTATTTTCTCAGAAGCACAGGTGACATACTAGACTTTTTTTTTTTTTTTTTTTTTTTTTTTTGAGACAGAGTCTGTTGTCCGGGCTAGAGTGCCGTGGCGTCAGCCTAGCTCACAGCAACCTCAAACTCCTGGGCTCAAGCGATCCTGCTGCCGCAGCCTCCCGAGTAGCTGGGACTACAGGCATGCGCGACCATGCTCGGCTAGTTTTTTCTATATATTTTTAGTTGACCAATTAATTTGTTTCTATTTTTTAGTAGAGACAGGGTCTCGCTCTTGCTCAGCTAGTCTCAAACTCCTGAGCTCAAACAATCCTCCCACCTCGGCCTCCCAGAGTGCTAGGATTACAGGCATGAGCCACCGCGCCTGGCCCTAGACTTTTGACTGACATCTGAAGAGGGGGCAGTTTTGTGGGACTGAACCCTTAGCCTGTGGGGTCTGACGCTAACGCTGATAGTGTCAGAATTGGATTGTACAATGCACAGTCGATGTCCACAGAATATTGGAGAATTGCTTCGTATGGGGACCGCCCCCCCCCCCAATCTGGTATCAGAAGTGAAGTACTAAGAATGAGAGTAGTAGGGAAAAACAGTTCAATTTTTTTAGACAGAGTCTCATTCTGTTGCCCTGGCTAGACTGCCGTGGCATTAGCCTAGCTCACAGCAACCTCAAGCGCCTGGGCTCAAGCAATCCTGCTGCCTCAGCCTCCCGAATAGCTGGGACTACAGGCATGCGCCACCATGCCCGGCTAATTTTTCGGTATATTTTAGTTGGCCAATTAATTTCTTTCTAATTTTAGTAGAGACAGGGTCTAACTCTTGCTCAGGCTGGTTTTGAATTCCTGACCTTGAGCAATCCGCCTGCCTCGGCCTCCCAGAGTGCTAGGGTTAGAGGCATGAGCCACCACACCCGACCCAGTTTGCTTTTTCATGTGCAGGTAAATTATCTATCTATCTATCTATCTATCTATCTATCTATCTATCTATCTATCTATCTATCTATCTACTACCTATCTATCTATCATCTATCTATCTATCTATCTATCTATCTATCTATCTATCTATCTATCTATCTATCTATCTATCTATTGAGACAGAGTCTCAGTATATATATTTTTAGTTGGTCAATTAATTTCTTTCTATTTTTAGTAGAGACGGGGTCTAGCTCAGGCTGGTTTTGAACTCCTAACTTTGAGCAATCCGCCCACCTCGGCCTCTCAGAGTGCTAGGCTTACAGATGTGAGCCACCACAACAGGACTATGCAAGTAGTTTTAAAATATGTCCACAAGCTCTTTCTTCAAAAGGTGAAGACTATATCCCCTCCTCTTGAATATGGGCTGCATTTAGTGACTGACCTCTAACTATCCATGTTGTGTGGCAGATGTGACACTGTGTCTTCTGAAGCTGGGTCATGAAAAGGACAACTTCTGCCTGGCACTGGCTCTGTCTCTTAGATCACTCACTGTGGAGGACACCAGCCATCATGCTGTGAGGACCTTCCATCAAGTAGCGTGTGCACAGGCTCCGTGGGGAGGAACCGAGGCCTCTGACAACTCGCCAGTGTGAGAGTGAGTGAACCTCCCAGAGGTGGATCCTCCAGCGCAAGTTCCACCTTCTTCATGGACTCTCCCCAGGTCACCTAACCTTCCCTCCTCTGAACTGCTACCTTCCTTCTCCGTATTATTATCGCTGTAATCATGCATTGCCTCATTTCATCATCTTTCAAAAAATACCTCACATTTCTCTGAGAGGTTTCATCGGAATCAGTGAGGATTTTCATTCATTTAGTAGCTGTTGGCCTTGTGTCCACCTCTCCCTGTCACTCAGGTCTCCCTTGGGAGCTGGCCTTCTGAGCTGTGGCTTGCCCACCAGTAAAAATGGAGATGGGCATGTTTCATACCACCTGACCTGGGCACCCCTTCCCCTTCCAGGCTACAGGCAGGGATGTGCACCTGGCCCAAGGAGAGGCAGCTTATCCACAGGCTGGCCAAGGGAAGACGCTGGGCTCAGGCCAATTCTGCCCAATGTAGGACAAGCTGGGCAAAGCAGAATCTCACTCTTGGTAGTTTTAATTTAGAAATATGGTAGGGCAGCATTGGAGACTAATAAGCATTGTACAAGTTTGAGATACTGTTACATAAAAACTATCTGAGCCTCACATTGTGTACCAACTTTGAAATAATGTAAATATGCAAAAATAGGAAGCTGGAGCTGCCTGGAATCCTGGTCTGGATGTTGGGAATCCTAGGAGTACAAGATCTCTAGTCTTGTTTTACTGTCAGCTTCCTGTTTATCTTTAGCACTCATTAAAAAATCAACACCCCATCCCATTATAGAGTTTGAACTGGCATGTGGAGTTTCCATTCTTTTCTTTTTTTTTTTAATTTTTTTTTTCTACTATTTTTGCTTTCAGTAAAGCAGGATGAGTTTCCATTCTTGTGACTTAACCATGTAACTAAAGAGCTAGGTACTGTACATGGCCTATAGCTGGTGCCCAGTAACAGTAGCAGCCATCACACTCACCATCAGTATTGTTGTTATTATTGTTATTGACTCTTGGATGGCAATCATGGGTTCTACTTCTCTGTCTCCCTATACCCTACAGCACAGAAGCCTAATGGTTAAGAGGCTTGGGAGTCTAACAGTCTAAACGTTAAAACCCTACTTCGTAGTATTGGATGTGTGGCCTATGTTTTTGGAGCCATTTCTTTATCTGTCAAATGATGATGGTCCCATGGATTGTTGGGCTAAATGATATAAGGCTATAAAATGCCTAACCTAGGGCTTGGCACCGAGTAAGCAAATTGTAACTGGTGGCTGCTGCTGCTGCTGCTGCTGCTGCTTCCTATAATTATTACTAATTAGTCTTCTGCTTTAAATTCGGTAAATGTTTTTTGTTGAGATAGGGTCTTGCTCTGTCTCATGGGCTAGAGTGCAGTGGCATCATCATAGCTCACTGCAACCTCAAACTCCTAGGCTCAAGTCATCCTCCTGCCCGAGCCTCCCCAGTAGCTGCAACTATAGGTACATACCACCATGCCCAGCTAATTTATCTATTTTTTGTAGAGACAGGGTCTCACTATGTTGCCACAGCTGGTCTTGAACTCCTGGCCTCAAGTGATCCTCCTGCCTCGGCCTCTCAAAGAGCTGGGATTACAGGCATCAGCTACCTTGCCTGGCCTTCAGTAAATGTTTGATGGCTCACTGAAGTCAACACACAGAGAAAGACGCTTGTTTCTCATTCTTAGTAAGGAACTTTGGGAGGTCCCTGGGGCAGGCATCAAGACAACAGGTGTGTCTCTTGCCCAGCACTGGTGAATGGATCGGCCAGGTGGGGAACTGAGGGCCGTTCACTTTGCCAGACCCCTCACCAGCAAACATGCTGGGCTGCTCCCCAGCTGGACAGCTGGGGCCTATGGGGGTTGCTGTGCTGTTCTTCTGTGGTGTGCACAGCTCTTCATCTGTTATCATGGAACTGCCAGCATTCATTCGGTTAGGTAGACGGCCAATTCTTGTTCATTCAGATTTTCTTTTCCTCACTAATGTGCTTAACTCTCACCGACTTAGTAAATGTGATTTATTAATGACTTTTTAAAGGTGGAGCAGAGGAACCCTTGCATCTTCTGCAGAGTTGCACTTGTGTCATCACTTGGAACAAGGCAGCCATGGATCTGCAGTGGGTGAGGCAGGAAGCGTGTGGATTTGGTGCTGGATGGTGCCAGGGGTGCAGGAGGGTCAGGGGTGTCCAGGGCAGAACGTGTGAGTGGAAAAGCAGCCTCTCCAACACGTTTTCTGTGATAAAGGCCAGAGGAGGGCTGTCTTGTGAAATTACTGTTCTCACACATTCTTCTTCACCTTACCCGCCCTCCCCGCCCCCCAGCACCTTCCTGCTAGCTATCCAAGGGTTGGGATTTTTAAAAGGAAAAAATAAACAAATAATCAATGCAAAATTTCCAGCTTCAAAGGGTGGAGAACTCCCTACCAAAACAGGACACACATTCACACAAGAGTTTGAGGGCTTGGGAAGAAAGACAGGACTTGGTCCTCAGTGCCGGGAGGCTCAGTGATCCAGACATTCTGGCAACCCCATTGACCCTATGAGAGGGACCAGAAGGTGGACGACCCCCTGTGGGCAGGAGGCCAAGTATGTTGTAAATGACTGGTTCTTGTTAACCAGGGCAGAGAGCCCCAGAATAACTGTATTTGATTTAAAAATCAACCTCCCGCCCAAGGATGATATGTTTTCAGGTTCCTGGAGACTGATTAGACTGGGAAATAAGGCGGGGAAGCCCTGTGAGTCCTCTGTCCACACCGCCCTTGTGGGAGTGTTGCCCAGCACCAGGGATTCTGGCCTCAGTCCTGTTTTTCTTTCCTATGGCCTTTGTTACCTGCAGATAAATATTTAACTAGTTACATTTTAATTTCTTACCATAAGGGTAGAATTGGCAATGGATATATTTTATTAGGAGAAAAATAAATCTCTTACTAGTAATGCTCAGAAGCCATATATAATATATAGAAAATGTATTCACAGGCAGCCTGAGGTGGGCTTGGTTACTATTCTTCCTCCTCATCCTCCTCTGGTTACTATCCTTCCTCCTCATCCTCCTCTGGTTACTATCCTTCCTCCTCATCCTCCTCTGGCGGGTTCTCACTTTCCTCAGCTTCAGTAGCCGACTCCATCGGTGTGGTCACCACAACTTCAGAGAGCTCCCTGGGATAGGAAGACAATGGCAAGGTTTCTACTCTTGAAAGGAGCAATAAAATTTTTCATCATCCCTCATTTTAGATACGATTCTAAATTGTCCCCAGCCATTTACCCAGCATCCTTGTTGAAAATCTCCTCCTCATCAGAAGACTCCTTGTCGTGCAGCTGATCTGCCATGTTTTTCTGGCGTGTGGCATTGAGAGGTCTGTACATATCCCTAAGCCAAAGTGGCCACCTGAACCACCCCTCCTAGAAAAGAGACAGGGAAGTATTGGTTCTGCATTTCCCCTGCTTTCTCTGGCCATAGGAATGAATCCTCTTCAAATTTACCTGGGTCCCACTCTGCGATGAGCTTCTTCTATGCAGAAATCCAAAAAAGCCCCTTTGGAGAAACACACAAGACAATTAGTGATTCTTGCCATTTTCCAGGGCTCTCACAATGTTACATCTCTGGTTTTATTAGGGCTAAACATGTACCTTGGTCCATAATCACAGTGAACAACATCACTACAGACCTGGAATCCTGAAAATAATTCCATGTGTGCTGGATTCCAGAAGTTCTCCATGTCTGTCCAAGAGGGCCCCACAGTGTCACTGGGGAGACCTTTGTGTGTGGCTTGGCATGGAGCATAGAAGGATTTTCAGTCCCACTCACCCCCCTTGGCCAAGTGCTCTTGTGCAGGAACAAAGCGTACAACCATATAGGGCAGATGTATTTTTCTCTCTCCAAGAAGCATTTTACATCAGTCCCTTTCCACCTTAGTCCCAGATGCAGCATTTGCTGGGGAGTGAGGGATAAAGTACTTCTATTTTCCTAGAAGCTTTGTCCTATAAGTTGAGTCACATCAAGCAAATGCCTGGGTCTAACTAGCAAAGTTATCTGTCTTACAGATTTTCATACTGCAGGCTGTCACTGGGGAGTGAGCTGTAAAATCAGTTTAAAGGACAAAATATTCTTTTTGAATATGAACAGAATGTAAACAAATCAGAGTGCATTGTTTTAGAAACTACTTATGTCTACACAGCATATGTGTATTGATTTGTGATATAAAATGTAGCTCACAGTCCAAATAGAGTATAAGCAATGGAGAAGCTCCTGGCTGGAAAGGGACCACTCCCTTTCTGAAACTTACTAGCAGTGTCACCACAGGTCCCTTTCTCTGTCTCTGTTTCCTTTTTACAAAAGGAAGAGACAAACTATTGTCTAAGGTCTCTCCTAGTTAAAATTCTATGAAGTTGAGATAAAAGGAATAGAGAGTAGAGTCTCAAAAACCAGTAGGATGAGAAGGTAGGTTTTCCTGGCACTCTAGAGGGAGGATTCATATCTTCCACCTTCCATCAGCCTTGAAGGAGACTGGCTCCCTTGCCCCCATATCATGTGGCCTTCCCTATCTCTTCCCAGAGCCTATGAAAAGGCCTCCGGGCCTGGCCTGATGCCTACCACCAGCAGGGACAGACACAATCACAACCCCCCCCCCACCTTCCCTTGAAGGACTGGTGACAGCAGATGTGTCCTTGCCAGTCCTGTCCGACTCAGCTTTGGCTGGGGAGCTAATTTTGCCGGAGCCAGGCAAAGAACTAGGGTAAGTAAGTATTTGTCCTGCTTCTGGCAGTTTCCTCACTGTAAAATGGAGGGATTGAAATAGATGAGTTCTGAGTTCTCCTCTAGTTCTAAAATTCTAATTTAAAAATTGCTAAACCAATATTTACCTCCTCGAGGATCCTTCTGAATCTCCCTGTGATGCTCTTCTGTGAGAATAAATCTGTTTTGGAAAAAAACGATCATGATTATCCATCATAATGGCCACTATCTCCAAATCTTTGTTCATTCCTTTTAAGTCTTATCTACCCAGTGGGGTAACTTCTTTTGATTGATTTATTTATTTAATAAAGAAGGGTCTCACTCTGTTGCCCTGGCCAGAGTACAGTAGCATGATCATAGCTCACTGCAACCTCAAACTCCCAGGCTCCAGTGATCCTCTTGCCTCAGCCTCCAAGTTGCTAGGACCACAGGTACATGCCACGATGCCTGGCTAATTTTTCTATTTTTGGTAGAGATGGGGTCTCGCGCTTGCTCAGGCTGGTCTTAAACTCCTGGCCTCAAGCAGTCCTCCTGCCTCAGCCTTCCAGAGTGCTAGGATTACAGGCATGAACCGCCACTGCTCCTGGTTGGAAGATAGGAATTCTATCCTGTTTAATGTTTCTTTGACTCTTTCCTTGGGATCTGCAAGGGACTGGTTCCTGGACCCATCCTCCCTCCAGTACCAAAATACAAGGATGCTCAAATCCCTATATAAAATGGTATAATATTTGTACATAACCTATGTACATCCTCCTGTATACTTTAAATCATCTATAGGTTACTTATAATATGTAATACAATGTAAATGCTATGTTATTACACCCTATTTTTTATTTTATTTTATTTTATTCACTCAAAATATTTTGATCCACTGGTTGGTTGAATTTGCAGATGTGGAACCCAACAATGTAGAGGGCCAACTGTGTCTAGCTTGGGGTCTTATATGCAGTTGGCACTTAATACATTTTATTGACTGTTTTAGATAGCAAATAATTCCTGATAAAAACTCTTAAAAGTAGGAAAAAAAAAGGAAACATCCTTAACTTGATCAAAGTATTTACCACAAACTTAAACAAGAGCATTGTTTTAAAGTCAAGAACAAGAGTAGGATGCCTGTAATTATTGCTACTATTCATCATTGTCCAGGAGGTCCTGATCAATGGAATAAGAAAAATAAACGGGTTGTAAGCATTGGAAAGGAAGAGACAAAAGTATCTTTGTTTGCATATGAAATGACAGACAACCTAAAAAGCCCAAGAGAATCAACTTTTTATTGGAAGTATATGAAAATTCAGTAAGGTGGTTCTATATAAAATTAAGAGATCAGCACACAAACCTCAACAGCTTTCCTATGTACCACCAATAACTAATTAGAAAATGGAAGAAAGATCCCATTTACAAACACAATAGAAATGTATAAAATATTTAGGAACAGAGATACAAAGATCTTTTACCCAACAAGAGATGTAAGATCTACATGATGCAAACATGAAAACTCTTCTGAAGGACATTGAACAAATGAATACACGCCATGAGATACCATGTTCCCAGAATGATGTAAAGATATCAATTCTCAAATTAGTCTACAAATTTAATGTGATCCTCTTCCAATCCCATGATAGTTTTTTACAAAAATTGGCCAGCTAACGTTTGGTAGACAAAATATGCAAGAATAGCTATGAAATGTATGAAAAAAATAAGACCAAAGAGAAGGAGCTTGCCAAATATTTAACTCAAAATATGTCACAAAGCAACTGGAATTAAGTAGTATAATGCTGGTACTGGTATAGAAAGACAACTGGATCAGTGGAAGAGAACAGATTTCAGATATAGATGGTATTTTAGATCAGTGATGAAAGAATGAATCATTCAATAAAAATTATTTTAAAACAATTGGATTTTCATGTAGGAGAATAAAAGATCCTCTACCTCAACCATACTAGAAAACAAATAATAAAACAAATTCCATATGGGTTAAAAAATTTAAATAATACAATGTCATCAAAGTACTAGGAGAAAATGTCAGAGTGTATCTTCATTCTGTGCGTTTGATGAAGGCCTCCTTCCCAAGCCCCACACCAGGTAAGCCGTGGGGTGAGGGCCGCTGATGGGATGACTCAGACTATAATCACACCTGCTCGTCATAGCCTTCGTGTCCTCTTTTCCACTGGATTTTTTGTCTTTTTCTTGTTGATTTATAACACTCTATTTATATTAAATATATGAATCCTTTCAAAGGTCTTCATTGTATTTCAATGTTTCAAATACTTCCCCGTGTTTTTGTCTTTAAGGAGGCGGAACGGAACAGTGGTAATAAAGAATGCAGGCTTTGCAGTCAGCAGAACCTGGGCTCTGTGTTTGGCTTTGCTACTGGGGCCTTAAGTTGATCTCCATCTGTACAAGAAGATGATGGTATCTTCCTAACAGGATCGTGAGGATTAAACCAGACAGTATGTGGAAAACTCTCCATCCCATGCTTGGCCTTCCTCAGGGCTAAGTTTGCCAGTGGTCTCACAGACCAGGTGGTCAAATCCACCAAAGGTTTCTGCCTGCACTATCAGGCATAGAAAGCTCCTTTTCATCACATGATTATAAAAATATTGCTTCTATTTTCTTTCTAATACTTTTCTTTTTTTACATGTACTGAAATATGTTTAAGGTGAGAAATAGGGATCTGCCATTACTTGTCACCCAAATAGTTAGGCAGAGCTGTTCTATTACTATTTATTCATTTTCTTCCACTGATTAGAATATTAAAAGGTGACATTTCAAAAGTCTTAGGAACACATGGATTGTCTGTTGCCAGACTCCACATGCTAATTCAAATAAATATTAGGTTGCATTATTCCTCATTGTGGAATTAACATAATGCCACATCCCTCTTCCTGTAAATGCCTTGTCTACTAAAGGAAAAACACTGCATGCTACCTTATCCTCAAAAAGCTTATCATCTAAGTGGGGTGAGGAAATAATGAAAAGATATAAATACAAATATAATGTTAAACTGTACATAGAAACTAAAAGCAGTAGAAGAGTTTATAGGAATTTCAGAAGAAAAAGCAAAAGGCCATATACCACCTGGAGATGATGCAGAGGGTACTGTCTGTGTAATGGCCAGGGACTGTCTTCCTGAGGCCTTGACAAACTGACCCCATGCTGGTCCCTGCTTCCTGGGCTCTGAAATCAGACTCTGTCCTCACCAAGAGAGAATTCACTTCTTCCTTTGGGAGCAGTCTCACCATACCAATATCACAAGACTGACCAAAATCAGAATTCCAGATTATGCCTTGTCAATGAGAAATACATCTGCTCCAAAGACAAACCCTCTGTAGACAGAGGCCTCCGCGGCACAGTCAAGTGCACTCAGAAAGCTACTCGGTGAAAACGGAATTAGAACAAAAGGAATCAGCTGAATCCAGAGTTTAACGGAAAGGGCTGAGGTGGCCGGATGCGCCCATCTCCCCCTAGGCACAGTCTCAGCAGTGGGCCTGACCCCACGTCTGCCACCTGAGGCTGTGGGTACTCTCGTGCGATGTTAGGATGGACACTGCCCACCCTGGTCTCTTCTTCACCTTTTCTATGTTTTTACTACTGACCAGTCTCCTGCAGAGAGACATGTTTTTCTTTAGGTAAGTTAATACAGGTTGAGTATCCCTAATCTGAAAATCTGCAATCCAAAATGCTCCAAGGTCTGAAATTTTTGGGCACCAACATGACACTCCCAGGAAATGCTCACTGGAACATTTTGTATTTCAGATTTTCAGATTAGGGATGCTCATCTGGTAAGTATAATGCAAATATTTAAAAATTTGAAAAATCTGATATCTGAAACATTTCTGGGCCTGAGCATCCAGATAAGGCCCCTCAACCTGTACATTTCACCAGGTTCTGCTCCTGTCTCATGGAGCAGGGAGCCATTGGTCCTTACAGCTCTGCTCTGTTTCATGTGCTGACCCAGGGGTTTCTCTATGGGTAGACGTCTTTAAAAAAATTGTTTGCCACATTTTTAAGTTCTCAGGGAAGGGGAAATGCTTCACCTCTAAGAAATGGTGACAAATCTCACAGAGGGAGTGGGCCCAGGAGGGCCAGAGTATTCAGGGAAGGCATCGTGAAGAAAGATGAACTTGAGTTGGCTTTTGACAGATTCACAGGATTTCCACGGGCAGAGTAAAATAAGAGAATTTTAGATGGGCAGAGGCACAGACGAAAGCAGGGATGGGAATGGTGTGACTGGGGTATGGTGTGGGGCTGCTTTGGCTGGAATGGAGGGCTGCTACGACAGTAGAAAAGGTAAATTAAGTAAGGTAAATTAGGTTGGTTGAGTCATGATTGTCAGCTTATTAAACCACTCTTTTAATATGCTATCACCTACCTGTTGTGAAAAGTAATAGACGATTATGAAATTGAACAGGTAATTGAACAGCAATTGAAAAGGTAAACAGAGGCAAGCTCTAGGAAGGAGCCACTGTTAATATGACACACCTCAGAGTAGCTGGATGCAGGGTTTAACTGGACCTATTTAGACAATGCCTTACACACTGGAGGAGGATGCTACCTGAATCTAATGAATCTACAAGATGACACTTCTATCTTTGACTGTGTCCTTTCTACCCAGGGTGATGACAGCTCCATGAGGGAGGAGATAATACACCTCTTGTCATTTTAGCAACAAAGAAAAAAATCAGCGGTAGAATGAGAGTGATTGGTGAATACATCAAATAGTCAATATAGTTTTGGGTTGGAAAAATTTTGCTATCATATCAACTTTCACTTTCTTAAACCTAACTTCTCAAAATAGTGTAATGGTTTGTTAACTTGGTTTCAATCCACAGAGATCTCCTGGGAGTGGGGTTACTTTAAAAATCCTTGGTATATACTTTGCGATAAAAGAACAAAGCAATTCTCAGTCTTAGTGATTGAAGAGGAATGTCAAGTAATCGTAGGTAGGAAAGTAGATTTGATTTTCAATTCATGAGCTCTGAATCTATTATAAAGGATGCATTCTGGAAACCTGAATTAATTGTTGTCCTTACCTCAATGAGACAGAAAATTATAATCAAAATCATCACTACTACAGTCACAGATATTGCCAAGATGAGTTTGTTGTTATAGCCATATCCTGGAACTTCTTTAGTGAGCTAAGAAAAAAGGAAAGAACAATTAAAAAAACAAAACAAAAAACAAAGAGATGGAAAGGATGAAAGCTAACTATTCAAACCCCCATTCTTCCAAGTAAGTAGCTTACAGGTTCTTCAAGAACATACCAAATCTAATGTGTTACATAATCTTATTATTAAGCATTTTGTTCTACAATTTCTTTACCTTGAGTGTTAGGTCGGCTTTATTCCCTAAATGAGCAAAGTGGGAAATCACTGTCATGGCCAAAACTACATGGCCAAGACAAAATATGGACTTGTCTACCTGGGTCTTGCTGCATGGGTGTTTTCATGGCCTATCCTCAATGATGGAAAAGTCCATCCTGTTTCTGCAGTTGTCCTCACCTCACTGGACTCCTGCTCTTTCTGTTCGCTCTGGGCTTCTGTGCTCTCGTTGATATAGTTCTCCGTTTTCCATTGATCTGTGTCCCATTCTGCCTTGGATACTTTTACTTCTTGCTGCTCACTGAGAAGCTTCATCAGGAGGCCTGTTCTAGAGATGAGCTTTGCACAGGCTAACTGCACATGGCTCTCAGAACAGTCCATTTTCAAAGTCCGGATGACGTGAGCAATGAGCCTTCGCACGTCGTTGCTGGGGATGAGGGATTGTAGCTGCTGGTTTAGCTGAATTTCAAACTGATCACCTGGGGACGAAGGGGTTGGATAAGTCAACCTTTTGGGCATGGGGGTTGAGTCGGTGCCCATGTTGTGGTATTCCCATTGGGTTTCATTGGCTTCTTTAACCGCTGGTATTATGTTGAATGCAGCCCCAGTGGACTCTGCATCGGAAGGATTCTTGTAGGTTGTGCTTTCAGGTAAGGTTTCTTCATGCACAGCAGTGCTATTTACAGAAATGTTTTCTTCAAAAGTATTTCCTTCAGGGAATGTTCTAATGTTTTCTGTGGAAAGGTCTGAAAGAGGAAATAATTCTGGAAAAAGATTCTCCTGAGGACTCAGGTCTCCTAAAGATGAAAAAGGTTCATGTGAAGGAGAATTTATGAGGCTCCTTACTGGAGAGAATGGAGGCCTGTTTGCAAATAACAGTCTTTTGAGCAAACTTTCCTTTTTGACCTCTTGACTTGGTTTGGCCTTGGGTGTTGTTCTATGGGCCACATGGGAATGAGTTTTATGAAAGTGGTATTTTTTTCTGGAATGTATGATTGCCTTAGCAGCCTCCATACTTTTAACTCTCGCATTTGCGTCTTCTAAAACAAAAATGGTGTCACTCAAGTCTTCTGATTTGTTTTTAACCTCAGGTGGGGGTTTCACAGTGGTGGGAGCAGAAGACACGCCCACTGAGTCCTGTTTCAGTAAAGAAGAGACAGCTGTCTTATGCTCCTGTGTGAACGAAGGCTTGGTGTGGAAGGAGCTTTCCACAAACTTCCTGGGCCTCTGCACTGCATGAAGCTGTTCCATTTCACTGGGCACTGGTCTCCCAAGCCTTCTCGCTTCGGCAATTTTCTTTGCAATGGGCCAGGCACTCTGTTTCCTCCTGATTCTCTCCTCTTCTAAGACCTTTTTCCTTATGCCCTTGGGCCCCTTGAGGACTAGCTTCATCCTCTGCTGCCTTTTCCCTATACCCTCAATCTGTGCCAGGCTGCTTTCCTGTGGTTGAATAGTTTCCAATTTGGGGGTAAAGATTTGGCGTTTAAATTTCGGACTGAAAAGGCTAGACTGCATAAGCATAGCAGTTTTTTCTTTCTTTTTAACCTCATCAATTTTGTCTTGAATTTCTGCATCTAACAAATTTTCCAGAAAATAGAGTTTCCTCAGTTTATTTGTGTAAGGTGAATTGTTGGATGCAGGTTCAAGAGAGGCGGTCTTTGTATTGTTTTTCAGATGACTCCGGGGCTTGTCTCCATCTTGTATATTTGAAAGAAGCAGTTTAATGAACGGTAATAACGTTGATTCTACATCTTCTAGATTTCCCTCTGAGAAGTAAGGCAATATGTAATTTAGTGCACTAATAACATCGCTTTCATCATTGAAGTCCAGCGGCTCATTCATGAAGCCTGACAAGCTGATGCCATTTTTATCTGCGGGTGTCTCTGGCTCAATAGTCAGCTCAGTGCTGGTGTGCTGCTTCCGGGCTTGTAATACCTTCATGAGCGTAGATCCTCCTACATTCCCTAGAGATGCTTCTTCAACTGTCAAAAGAGAAGAGACTGTTTTTGATAATGGAGGACTGATGGAATAGCTTTTTGTCAGTCCACAACCATATATCCCACTCAAATAAATGATCAGACACCAAACAGGTGAGTGCCATTTAGAGAGGAGAAAAACTGACCCAAACTTAAACCTATGAAATGGCAACAACAAAAGGGAAAAAGACATCTTTTGAAAAAGTGGCTACCTGCTGAGAACATCTCATAATATGAAATATAGCAACTCTATTTAGGATTATTCCATTGGTCCCCAACAGACCAGCGCTCATTAAAAGTACATGGCGGAAGCCAAGTGCTCCCCATGAGCCAGCCTCTCTGCGGATCTGCGTTCTCACGCTCTCGTAGCCCATGCTGTCCTGCCTCACAGGCAGAGGGGCATGCTTGTATTCTTGCTGCCATCTCAGAAGAACAGGACAAAGACAGTCCTGTGAGGGGAGCAAGAGCAGAGGCCACACGCCCACTGCTAAGGGGTCCTCCTCTGGATGCTCCTTGTCCACCTCCCCCACCAGTTCCTCTGCTTGGCCCCCACTGCCAAGTACACTAGCACCCATTATAGGAGGCTCTCCACACAAAAACCACTAGGTTCATCGTGGTTCTTTCCTTAAATTTGGGCAGGGATCTGGGGTGGATGTTCAGAGATTTTTAAGTTGCCAGGTGTATGCCTATGTGGAATGTTCAGTAGATCTGAGGATGACAGAAATTTCTGGATAAACATTACTTGAGGTAATTACTTGAGGCAGAAGGGAAAAAACAACTTTTGTCAGATGCCTACTTTGCTTTCATTTCATTTCTGTAATTTCCAGCTTTACTTGGGGAACCATCCAAAGCTTCCTACTGCATGCAGGGCACGTGTACCATGGTGGTATAGGTGGGTGTTTTTCCCCCAAATTAAAAGTTTCTGTGGTGGTGGTGAGGGTCTGAGGAGTAGGTAAGCACTATGAGAAAGGAGGAACATGGGCTGTGGAGAACCCAGAACTGGGGACAGAAGACCTGGCAATAGACTATAGCACTTAACGCCTCTGAACTTGTTTTCCTTTGTAAAACAAGATTTAAAATGTTTGGTCTGCCCACCTCTGGGGGAGAAAGGAATAATATAATAGCATTGGTGAAGAACTGTTTTGGAAAGTGAGTGACACTGTGTTTACATAAGCAGTAAAGAGTTCTTTTTTTTTATTATTTATTTTTTTTATTTTTTATTCTTAGGCAATTACAAGATGAAAGTAAAGAGTTCTTATTGATTATCTGCCCTGTGTCACTGGTAGAGACCATATTCAAGTTGTCTGGACATGAAAGCAGTCGCATTTTGGAAGTCATAAAATTAGCTCTAATAAACCTAGTATGTAGAAGAACACTTAAAAGCACTTGAGTGTTTGCTCTGTGGCTAGAAAAGCTTAACATTCAGAACAAGTTCAGAGTTCGACAAGCTAAGAATGGAAAAGCCCTCCATTCTGTTAGAAGAGCCAGGTAGCATTTTCTGGCTATGGAACCAGAAACTCTCAGGCTCCAAATAAAACAGTGTCACTTTTACTCTTTTATAAAATTATAAAAACAAACAAACCAAAACCACATCTACACCTGTCCTATAAGGCAGAGGGCACTTGAGATCTAATGCATCTAAAACCAGTTTACAAACTGTGATGTGCTGTATGGACAAGTTATCGCCAGGGGGCAAAACACCAAGCAAAGAGCACAGTACACAGTGTGTGGCCAATAATGTTATGCCCTTCCCCTTCCATTCCTTCCTACTGGTCCTTTTATGGATGTGGAACAGTTACATTATTAAGTTATGTAATAATAACTGAGAACTTGACTTTCAGCAAGGGAGTGGTTCAGAAACTTAGGGGGTTAAACTCTGAATGAATGAATAAAAATAAAGCAATTACATCATCAGCTTAAAAACTATCAATTAAAAATTACAAAGCAAATAAAATAAAAATTTAAAGAATTATCATCAGGCAATTTAGACTCACGACAATCTGTGGTGTTTGTCAGACATGCATTCTCACAATGCAGCTTCACTGTCTTGCAGACAGCCTCAATATTATTTTTAAATTGGCAGAGGCAGCAGGCCAGATGGCTAGGTAAGATCCTATAAATGGAAACATAGAGAATTAAATTAATGTAAAGGGGTTACTCCAGCTGGTAGAAGAGGCAGGCCAAGGCTACCACAGGTGTAGGCAAAAAGGAGTTCTTGAGACACATGGCCTGGTCAGTTGTTGAGTAGGAACCAGATGGCCAATAGGAAGGAGGACAGAGGTGGGTGAGCATGGCAGTGGGTATGGTATGCCTAGAAAAAAGGTGATAGAGATTAGAGCTGCTAGGAGTGGTAGGTTACACCTGTAATTCTAGTTCCATGGGAGGCTCAGGAGGGAGGACCGTTTAAGCCAGGTGTTCAAGACAAGCCTAGGCAATATAGCAGGAACTTGTCTCTTAAAAAAATAAAAAATTAAAAAAATTAAAAGGGATTAAATGGGATATTGATTTGTAGTTTAATTCAGAAGTTATCTTCTCCCAACTCAAAAGTCTCAATTTGAGTTGAGAGTACATGGGGAAAAGATCGACTTCTAAGAAGAGTCTGAAAAAGCCCCTGACTTCTGAAGTCCCTTTCTCAATTACTGTTGGGAGTGGTAAATATTAGAAATTACTCTGGGCATAAATAACAGCTTAGTTTAATACATATTATGGGTTGAACAATAATGGAGATTGCATTGGCCAAATCCATACAATTTGAGCATTCAAAAGAATAATGCTGATAATAAGGTACCACATAATTACTGTAAAGAAGAATCCATGAATTCACAATGATACTCTAAAAGGGGAGGATCCTTCTTTAATAGAATAATACCAGCTAATAAATGTAGAAGGATGATAGAATTAGAAAAGTGTCATTTTGCAACCACCAACATAATAAGTGATTCAGATAAGGATCACCATGGATGCACAGTTGGGTGAAAAGATGTTTGAGAGCAGGACGTTCACTGATCTCAGAGTATCACCCCAGAGATTATTTATTAATTACCAAGGGAAAATATAACTTTACAATGGAGAGATCTGGAAGATAACACCTTAATCAAGTGATTAAACTTAGCATTATGGGCCACCCGAAGTCATGAGGTAGGAAGGATACATCACCTATGTAGTATTCTTCCCAAAAATGTTTAACCTGAATCTAATCATGAGGAAACAGACAAATCCAGATCCTGGGAGAATTTATAAGATAACTGTCTTAAACTCTTCAAAAGTGCCAATGTCATAAAAGACCAGAAAAAGTAGAGAAATGTTTTAGACAAAAGGAAACAAAGACATGACATGCAATGGCTCATCTTTGATTGGATCTGGATCAAAACAAAACAGATTTAAAGAATAGTATTGGCTTCTGGCCAAGATGGAGTAACAGGGACATTGAGCCTTGTGCCTGAAACAACCAAAAATACCAGATAAAATATATGAAACCACAGTTTTCAAGACACTGGAAATCAATGAAAGACAGTGATCTCTGTGAGATGGGAAATAAAGTACAACCTGTGACTGCCCTAGCTTACTGCTTTGAGAGAGTTTCCAGGGCTTGGTGCAGGGGGAGGAAACTCAGGCATAGACTGATGGACTCTCTGATTAAGGAAATGGAGCTGAGAGTCTGGGAAAACCCAGGTGGCTAGAATTCACACCTTGTGGAGTACTAGAGAGAATAAAGGCACAGAGAAAGAATTCTGGGATAGGCAGAGGGATCTCCTTAGCATTCAGCGAAGTACTGATTGGTGCATGTGTGTGAGGAAACTTCTTGAGGCTAGGAAAAGAACCACCCAAAAGGATTAGACAGAAGAATAATCAGATATTGCACAGGGTTAGGAATAGTGCCTGTTACCACAAACTAGACTGGAAAACCTCGTGATTCATGGGGCAATGGGTACTCTCAACAAACTCAAATTCACAATGTCCAGAACCAAATAGAAAATCACCAAGCATGCAAAGAAGCAAGAAAATATGATCCATATTGAAGGAAAAAACCAATCAATCAAAGCAACTCAGAACCTACATGGATGTTAAAATGACCAGACAAGGGCATTAAAACAGTTATTTCAAAAACTTAAAGACTAAAAATGTTAAGTAGAGGCATGGAAGATATAAAACAGACCCATATTGAACTAGGTATTAAAACTACAATGTCTAGATGAAAAATATACAGGATGCAATTAATGGCAGACTAGACACTGCAGAAGAAAAGATCAGTGAACATGATGGCATTTATATAGAAACTACCCAAATTGAAACATAAGAAGAAACAAAACAACAACAAAAATGAACACAGAATGAGTAAGTTGGGCAACAACTTATATTCTGGACCATAAAACAAATTTCAATATATTCAAGAGGATTCAAGTCATTCAATATAGGTTCTCTCTTCTCTGATCATAATGGAATTAAATTAGAAATCAACAGAAAGATCTGAAAAATTCCCAAATATTTAGAAACTGAACAACACATTTCTTTCTTTCTTTCTTTCTGACAAAGTCTAGCTCTATTGCCTAGGCAAGAGTACAGTGGCATCATCATAGCTCACTTTAACCTCAAACTCCTGGGCTGAAGCAGTCCTCCAGCCTCAGTCACTCAAGTAGCTAGGACTACAGGCACATGCCATCACACCCAGATATTTTTTCTATTTTTTTTTAGGTATGGGGTCTCACTGTGTTGCTCAGGCTGGACTTGAATTCCTGGCCTCAAGCAATTCTCTCTCCTCAGCCTCCCAAACTGCTAGGATTACAGGCATGAGCCACCATGCCTGGCCTAAACACATTTCTACACAACCCCATGGATCAAAGAAATCAAAGTGGAAATTAAAAACCATTTTGAACTGACTGAAACTGAAAACACAACAGGTCAACATGTAGGATGATGCTAAAGCAGTACTCAGTTTCTTTAGCTTGTACCTTAACAAATCAGAAAAGGAAGAGCAAATTAATCCCAGAATAAGGAGAAGAAAGGAAATAAGGATCAAAGCAAAATAAGTGAAATAAAATGAAAAACAAAAAAATGGAATCAGGCTGGGTGCAGTGGCTCATGCCTGTAATCCCAGCACTTTGGGAAGCTGAGCTGGTGAGAGGATCACTTGAGCCCAGGAGTTTGACAGCAGCCTGCTCATCATAGTGAGACCCCATCTCTCCAAAAAAGTTTAAAATTAGCCAGGTGTGGTGGCTCATGCCTGTAGTTCCAGTTACTTGGGAGGCTGAAGCAGGAGGATCGCTTGAGCCCAGCAATTTGAGGTTGCTATGAGCTATGATGATGCCACTGCACTGTAGCTTGAGCAACAGAGTGAGGCCCTGTCTCAAAAAATATATATATATATTAAAGAAATCAGTGGAACCAAAAGATGGTTCTTAGAGAAGATCAATAAAATTGATAAACCTCTAGACCAGGTGTCCTCAAACTACAGCCCGAGGGCCACATGCCACCCGCCGAGGACATTTATCTGGCCTGCTGGGTGTTTTTGCCGCCGCTGCCTGTCCTGTTTAGCAGCCCGACTCGTCCCAGGCCCATAGTGTGCACTCTCCAATGGTCTGAGGGACAGTGAACTGGTCCCCTATTTAAAAAGTTTGAGGACTCCTGCTCTAGACTGATCAAGAAGAGAGAAGACACAAATTATTGATATCAGGAATGAAAGGGTAACATCACTATAGACTTTATAGATATTAAAATAATAAGGAATTATTATAAAATACTTTATACCAATAAATTCAACTCAAGATAAAATGGACAAATTTCTTTAAAGACAAAAATTACTAAAGTTTACTAAAGAATCAATATGTAGCTTAAATATCACTATTAAATAAATTGACTAGGTAGTTTAAAACCTTCTCACCAAGAAAGCTCCAATCCTATATGGCTTCACTGGTGAATTCTATTAAACATTTAAGGAAAAAATAATACCAATTCTACACAAACTCTTCCAGAAAATTGAAGAGAAGGGAATACTTCCCATTCGTTTATAAAGCCAGCTTTTACCTTATCAAAATTAGACAGACAAGAAAAAACTACAGACTAATATCCCTCATGAACATAGAGGCAAAAATTCCAAACAAAATTTTAGCAAATCAAATCCAATATATATGAAGATAATATATTGTGAAGTGGTGTTTATCCCTAGAATATGCAATGTTGGTTTAATATTTGAAAGAAAGAAAAGTAAGTATGTTAACAATTAAATCCACATGAAATTTTCATGGGTGTACATTGTTCTATTCTTTCATCTTTCTGGTAGGCTTGATTTGGTCAAAATATAAATTTGGGCAAAGAAGATAACCAAGATAATTGATTAGCTTATTTTTGTGGTTGACTAGGGCAGTTTCAAGTAGATAAAAAGTCTCTGTAACTGAAGTAAATTCTCAAGGTAAATTCTCTTAAGCAGTATAGCATGGTGATTAAGAATACAGATTCCATAGCCAAACTAGGCTCAAATACAAGCTCTGCTAATAATGTGAACTTGGAAAAATTGCTTAATCTCTATTCCTTAGCCTCCTTATTATGATAGTACCTATCTCTAATAAGCTGTGAGAATCAAATGAATCAATACCTGAACAGTGCCAGGCACACAGTGAATGCTCAATACATGTTAACTGCTACAGTTGGTAACTTGTGGAGGCTGCCAGAAAAGTAATAATGCTCTCCTACTTTGGGTTGTTTGGGGTATTCTCTGCACCCTCCAGTAGGATGACTTTATCAGGACCATGAAAACAGAAGTGTGTTTCATACAAGGCTGTGGGTTGAGAGTATGATATATAGAATTTTAGATTAAAACTGCATCCAATAAGTTGGCCTGATACATCTTTCAAATGTATAAAGGACTAATTATAGGTGACTAATATTATTCCTTTGGGTCCAGCGGAAGCCTCTGATCTTTATATAAAAAGAAAGGACCCAGAACAGTAACCTAGCATTTTATATATATACCAACCTGAACCTTGACACAGAGTTTTTGTTATTCCTTTCCTGGCTTCAAATTTTTATTCTGAAAATTTTCAAATCTACAAAAAACTTGAAAAGATAGTATAATGAACATCTTGCATACTTTTCACCTGGATTGAACAATTGTTAATACTTTGCCACATCGGCTTTCCATGTGGCAATACATTTTCTGGGCAAACCATTTGAGAGAAAGTTGCAGACATAATGACCCTTCACCACTAAATACTTCAGTGTGCAGCCCCTAAGAACCAAGGCATTTTTTCCTACATAACCATGATTCTATTATCACCCAAAATGAAAGTGAATATTAATATCATTATTTATTATATAGTCCATATACAAATTTTCTCAATTGTCCCGATCATGTCATGGCATTTTTTAAAAAATCCAGAATCTAATTAAACATTAAATATTGCATTTAATTTTCATAATTCTTTAGTCTCCTTCAGTTTAGAACTGTTCCCCATCTTTTTAAAATCTTTTATGGCACTGACATTTTTGAAGCAGTCAAGCCATTGTTTTATACAGTGTTCCTCAATCAACTCGAATACAATCACAAAGGAATATTTTTAGCAAGGACACTTCATAGGAAGTATTGTAGTTGTTATTACTCATTAAAATGTCTGAGCTAGAAATTATACAAATAATGATAAATTTAAAGAATTGGTTTTTTTTTTTATTTTTTTATTTATTTTATTTTATTTTATTTTTTTTTTGAGACAGAGTCTCGCTTTCTTGCCCAGGCTAGAGTGAGTGCCGTGGCGTCAGCCTCGCTCACAGCAACCTCAGACTCCTGGGCTCAAGCAATCCTCCTGCCTCAGCCTCCCGAGTAGCTGGGACTACAGGCATGCGCCACCATGCCCGGCTAATTTTTTATATATATATCAGTTGGCCAATTAATTTCTTTCTATTTTTATGGTAGAGACGGGGTCTCGCTCAGGCTGGTTTTGAACTCCTGACCTTGAGCAATCCGCCCGCCTCGGCCTCCCAGAGTGCTAGGATTACAGGCGTGAGCCACCGCGCCCGGCCAAAAGAATTGTTTTAATATATACTGACAAATCTTTGAGACTGCAAATGACCTGAGGTATAGATTATCCTTGTTTGAGAATAATTTTTCAATATGCATTAAAGATCATTACACCCCTGAGCATGGTGGCTCATGTCTATAATCCCAGCACTTTGGGAGGCCGAGGTGGGAGGGTTGCTGGAGGCCAGGAGTTCAAGACAGCCTAGCCAACATAGCGAGACCCTGTCTCTACAAAAAACAAAACTAAAAATAAATTAACTGGGCATGGTGGTGCACGTTTGTAGCCCCAGCTACTCAGGAGGCTGAGGTGGGAGGATTGCTTGAGCCCAGGAGTTGGAGGTTATAGTGAGCTATGATTGTGCCATTGTACCCTAACCTAGGCAACAGAGTGAGACCCTATCTCTTAAAATAAACAAAAACCAAAAAAAACTATTACACACGAGTTAAGACTCACATGAGCTGGCCTGCTTACTTTGTATATAAGTGTGTAAACTCCTGAGGACTTCCAATAATGAACTCCAATATGGCAGTTGCTTTAATCTCTTCATGGCCTTGGTGGCAAATGGCTACAGAGAATGAGAACACTTTACCTATTCAATACTGGTCAAGAAAAAAGCAGACAGAACCCCACTACCTTGGATAACTGAGAAAGCTGGTTGATGATGAGGACTTTGACAACCCAGAAAGGAAGGCCATCTAGCTAATGTGGAAGACGCTGCAAGACGTTGAGAAAGATGAGGCCAGAGCAGTAAGATGGATCTGACCACATGGTGAAGATAAGAGAGTGATCTGACAGAAACGACTGGAAGAGAGTGCTAAATGAAGGGCCTTTTTCCATACTAAGCTTGTGTAGTCTCCTCACCTAGCCTTGGAAAAATAGCAAGTTTCTATTTAGCTTGCCATATTGGAGGGGGGGTGGCAGCACAATTTAAGCTGTGGTAAGTTGTGGATCAAACTACCACAACAGGACCCTAAAGAAATATGTTTTAAAACTGCAAAAAATTGAAATACATCACACCATACATGAAAATGAACTCAAAATGAATCATAGACCTAAAGGTATTAATAACTATACGATTTCTGGAAGAAAACATAGGAGAAATATCTTTGTAATTTTGGATTAGAAAATGGGTTATTTGACAAAAATGTCTTAGATGAGACACAAAAAACATAAAGCACACAAGAAAAAAATTGCTAAATGAGAGTTCATCAAAATTAAAAACTTCTGTTCTTCAGAAAACACTTTTAATAGAACGCAAAGACAAACCACAACCTGAGAGAAGATATTTATTAAACACATATCTGAAAGGACTTATATCCAGAGTATAAAAATCACTCTTAAAACTAAACAAGAAGATAAATATCTAATTAAAATATAGGATCGGATTTGAATAGACAATTCAGTAAAGAAGATATTTGGACATGAATGGAAATTCAACATCATTAGCTATTAAAGAAATACAAATTAAAACCACAATGAGATTCCACTACACATTTAAAATAGAAAGGCTATAGTTTTGTTTTTTTTAAAAAAACTGAAATATAAGGATCTGCTGATGATGTGAAGCAACTACAATGTTCACACTGCTGATGGGAATGCAAAATGGTACAGCCACTTTAGGAAACAGTTTAGCGGTTTCTTTACAAGTTAAATATGCACTTAGCATGTGATGCAGCAATCCCACCCCTAGGTATTTAAGAAATGAAAATACATGTTTCATGCATATGAGTGTTTTTAGCAGCTTTATTCATAATTGCCAAAAAGTTGAAAACAACCCAAATGTCTGTAAACTGATGAATGGATAAACTGATAGATCTATACAACTGGAATACTACTCAGCAATAAAAAGGAATGAACAGTTGTCCCTCAGTATCAATGAGGGATTGGTTCGAGGACTCTCTGCAGATACCAAAATCTGTAAATACTCAAATCCCTGTATAAAATTATATGCTATTTGCATATAATCTCCAGTGTACTTTAAATCATCTCTAGATTACTTAGAATACCTAATACAGTATAAATACTACATAAATAGTTGTTATACTGTATTTTTAAATTTATATTATTTTTATTGTTATATTGTTATTTTATATTTTTAATTTTTCCAAATATTCCCCATCTGTGGTTGGTCGAATCTGTGGATGAAGAGAGGACCAACTGTACTTATAGATACAACAACACGGATAGTAGCATAATCTCAAAAAATTATGCTAAGTGAAAGTAGCCAAAGACAAAAGGCTATACACTATATGACTTCATTTATAAGACGGTCTGGAAAAGGCAAAACTATAGGAACAGAAATTAGATTGGTGGTTGCCAGGGGCTGGTGGTGGGAGGAAGGGGTTGATTGCAGAGAACATGAGAAGCCTTTTTAGGGTGACAGAAATATTCTATGTTGGGAATGGGATGGTGGCTATATAACTACACATTTGTTACAACTCATTGAACTGTACATTTAAAAAGGGTGAATTACATGAAAATTATCCTTCAATAAATATGACTTAAGAAAATATAAACCTAAAAAACCAACTAAGTGAAAATAAATTTAAGAAAAAAAATAACTTACAGTTTTTCCAACTCAAGGGTCGCCATGAGGATGTTCTCAACTGTTGTAAGTGGAACTTGTGTTGTTCCCAGGTCTCTGAAGGAGAAAGCCCAAGCAGTCATGATATTAACCCCAATATGAAAATTCTATACTTAAAAAGATATTTCAAGGACATGTGATTACTTCAATTTTGGCTTCTCTATAAAACAAGCCAGCTTAAGAGTTTATTTGCCACTGAAGATAATTCTAGAGAGCTCTTATTGAATAAATGTAATTATGTACATTTGCATCATCAAATTAATGACATTGAATAATAAAACATGTACACTTTTTAACCATTATCTTCCCATTTTAGTATTTCATTCGCCTCTCTTGATCATTTATTCAATTTTTTCTTTTTAAAATAGTGAATACCTATTCCTCATTGCTTTCTGGGATAAATGATATTCCTACATGCATCTATACATTCTATATCTGTATATGTTCTTCAACACTGCTCTCTTCCCTTGCTGGCTATCTTGCCCATTATACATCCTTTCTTAATCTCTTTTCATTGCCAAGAACTTTTTTTCAATAACCCAGTTAAAATTTAAATTATAACTTTTTAGCCTAAATTCAAAATATTTAATCTTTGATGCAAATAAAATGTGAGAGCAGAAATCATCTCATGACTCATGAGATTATTGTAATACTTACAGATACTTTAATGCTGGCAATTTAAAAAGATATGAATCTTCAACAGTGGTCAGAGGATTACGATTGAGAATTCTGAAAAAAATGCAATGGGATTAAAATTACCTGCATTTTCCATGTGCATGAAAAGTTTATATTCATTTTTTAGTATGGAACTTATAGGTTAAAAAAATCATTTTCTATCTTTACCTATGAATCACCCTTAGACTCTGTAAAAATACTCTTCCTTTGGTAACTACCCGCATTTCTAAAAGATAAAGTGTAGAAGAGAAAGAAAAAAAAATAGAAAAAAAGTGGATAGCAAGGAAAAAATATGCCAATTATCCTCCATAATTCAAGGTGCTTGTCTTTCACCTTTAGAAATTAAAAAAATAAAATAATGGTTTAATACATACAGTTAAGAAAAAAATGGACCAAATCCTTGGCTTTAGAGCTAAAGAAAAAGGGATAAATCTAAGAGAAAGGAACTCTCATCACATACTCACACTGGTATTCTTGCATCACATCACAGCCTTTGTTACTTTGCACGTGCACCTGCTCACTTGTCAGTCTCCTGGACTGTCAGCTCCTTGAGAGCAGGGACCACACCTTATTGTCATTGTCCTACCTGTGCCTGGCACAGTGCCTGGAATTTACTAGGTATATGCTAAATGTTTGTTGAAAAATAACATTTTGTTTAAATATCAGTAAAATAAATACATTCATTTTTTGATGCAAATTTTATTCCAAACTGCTGGAAGAGTTTCCTTTTCAATTCTTTAAAGCAAACAAATAAACAAACAAAAACAAAAGAAAAGAAATGGGAAGGAAGAGAAGAAAATCTGCCTTTAGGTTAACTGTACTCAAGAATCATCAGTATACTGCAGAACATTATAAAAATAACAATTATTACAACTGATATTTATTGGGCTGCCAGGCACTTGTGATTAGCCTTTCACATTTAAGTCTCACAGTAAGCTTACATGGTAGATGTTATTATCTCATTTTATAAAAGAGGAAACTGAGGCACAAAGAGGTTATATAACTTGTCCTAGATCACCAAGCTAGTTAGAAGCAAAGATAGAATTTAAACTCAGTTCTGATTGCAAAGCCTGTGTTTATCATCTATGAAGAAAAAAGGTTTAAAATAGCTGTTATTTTAACCTTAATTCTGAGAGAACTACATATAAAATGCCTTTTCAAACTCATCTGGGAGAACCTCTTGAGAATTACATTTCTCTTTTTATTCATTTTCTCTAACCATTTCCTGTGATTAAATATTTAATTAGCCCATGGTCATTGAGAATTTAGAAATTTAAAACCATGTTGTAGGTGACATCATTGAAAATGGTGGGGTAAAGACATCTGAAAATTCATCCCTTCATAAAAGCAACAACAAAAAATATGGCAAAAGTGTCCAGAATCAACTTTTTCAGAACTCTGAAAATTTGCCTAAAGGCTTGCAGCAACCCAAAGAGCATTTATTCAGGAAATATGGCTGACTTTCTGTAAGAACAGTGAGATTTGTATTATTTCAGCTTGCCCTAGACCATTCCTTGCTCCCCAGCTCAGGAGTAGTCTTGAAAAATAGCCCACATCCCCAGTACCAGAGGGAACAGAATGGAGTTGGAGCTCTTTCAAAGCCTCATCCCCAATGTACAGTCATTATTTGACCTATCTGGTGGCTCCATAGAAGACTTTACTTGAAAGGCTTGTCTTTATTTAAGCCAACTATGAGCTGTCAAGTGCTAAAAGCCTCTCCCCAGAGGGTGTCTGTGGAAAACAATTACAGGAAAAGTGTTTTAACATCACAGGTGTATGAGGCAATGGATAAAAGTTGGGGCAAAAAAAAAATAGCCTAATTAAAAACCTTAATAGAAAAGGCTGAGGAATAAGATGTCTATAGGAACTTTGAAATACTCCAACATATCCTTGGGAAATTGAAAGGCCATGAGACATATTCTTGGGAATCTGGAAGGTGATGTACAAGTTTAGGACTATCAGGAAAGACCTGAGAAGTCCCTAAACTCTCATCTCTGGCTGATCCTGAGGTTCTGCACAAGCAGTAAATAAAAGCTAAGGCAGAGCTGTAAACTATCTCACTGAGTGCTGAAGTTATGCCCTAACATGCACATGATGAACACAAAATGTATAAGGACATAATATGTGACAATAACAGTATAAAGGGAGGTGTGAGAGTGGAGCTTTAGAGAACCAAAGTTTTTGTATACTATTGAAATTAAGTTGGCATTAATCTGAACTAGAAGGTTATAAAGTAAGATTAAATTACTAGAATGTAATCCCAGGGCAACCACTAAGAAAACAACTCAAAAATATATAGTAAAAGAAATAAGGGAATTGAAATGGTACACTAGAAAATATCTATTTAACACAAAGAAGACAATAATGGAGGAAGTAGGAATGAAAAAAACATAAGACATAGAAAAAACAAACAGCGAAGTAGTAGATGTAGATCCTACTTTACCACTAATTACATTAAATACAAATGGATTAGACTCTCCAATTAGAAGGCAGAAGTTGGCAGAATGGGTGTTAAAAAACATGATCCAACTATATGCTATACAAGAAACTCACTTTATATTGAAAGACACAAGTAGGTTGAAAGTAAAAGGATGGAAAAAGATATACAATGCAAACAATAACCAAAAGAAAAGCTGGAGTGGCTATCCTAATAACAGACAAAATAGACTTAACACAAAAATTGTTGCTAGAAACAAAGACGGACTTTTATAATGACAAAAGACTCAATCCATTAAGAAGATAAAGTGATTATAAATATATACGCATCTAACAACAGAGCCCGAAAATACATTTAAAAAACTGACAAAATTTTAAAAAATAGATAATTCAACAATAGCAGCCAAAGACTTCAATACCTAACTTTCAATAATGAATAGAACAGCTAGACAGAAGATTAGCAACGAAATGGAAGATTTGAACAACTATAAACTATAAACTAACTAGATATAACAGACATTTACAGAACACTTCCCAACATTAGGAATATTAAAATAGCAAAACACACATTCTTCTCAAGTGCACATAGAACATCATCTGGGATAGACCATGTTAGATCATAAGACAAATCCCAATAAATTTAAAAATACTAAAATCATATAAAATAGGTTCTCCAAACATAGTGAAGTGAAATTAGATATCAATGATAGACATAAATTTGGGAAATTGACAAACATGTAGAAAGTAACATATTCCTAAATAACCAATGAGCCAAAGAAGAAATCACAACAGAAATTAGAAAATAATTGCACTTGCTATAGATAGAAAAAAAAAAAAAAAGAAAAAAAAAAAAGAAATTAGAAAATACTTAGACATGAATCAAAAGAAAAATACATACGCCAATACTATGGAGTGCAGCTAGAAAAATGCTCAGAAGGAAATTTATAGATGTAAATGCTGATGTTAAAAGTCTCAAGCCAATCACCTAAATTTCCACCTGAAGAAACTGGAAAAAAAAAAAAAACCTCAGTAAACTGAATGCAAAGCAAGAGAAAGAAAGGAAATACTAAAGATTAGAACAGAAATAAATGAAATAGAGAATAGAGAATAGAAAAACAATAGAGAGAATCAACATAATCAAAAGTTGGTTCTTTGAAAATATCAACAAAACTGATAAACCTTTAGCTACACTGACCAAGAAAAAAAGAGAGAAGATTCAAATTATTTAAATCAGAAATGAAAGAGGAGACATTACTGCCTCACAGACACAAAAAGGGTCATAAGGGAAAACCAGGACCAATAAATTAGGTACCCTGGATGAAATATAGAAAGATACAAACTACTGAAACTGACTTGAGAAAAAAATAGACAACTGACATTAGGATCCTGCATTTATCCCTAGTGAAATCAAAACACAGGGCCACTCCATATTATCCTATTTCTTCCTCCTGTTGTAGAGCATTCGTTTTTTCACTGTTTGTGCTGGGGCAATGGAGAGAATGAGAGGAAACTGACCCAACAACTCAAGTCTGGGAATGCTACAGCAACTCTTTTCCACAAACCAAATGATGTGAATGTTTTTAGATTCACAGTGGATACTGTCTTAGATCATTTTCATTTCTGGTTCAATTCCCTCATTTTACAGACAAACTAAGGTACACTGACACCTAATCTACTGCCTTTTTGATATCTTTATGGGAGTAAAATGTGGCAACCTTTTTATTCCCTTCAAAGTTTAAGAAATATCACTCTACATGATTTTTTAAAATATACCTTATTAGAAGAAGAAAATCCAAATATTTCTATATAAACCTTTGCTATAGAACAATGAGACAGAATAAAGGCAGCTCACAAAATAAGGGGACATTTCTTACCTGTTATTTTTTTTCCTCCAAATTCTTCTATACAGTCCAGACAGATGGGCTACATTTCCTTTCTACTAACTGAGGAGACACAGAAGACTTGAGGACTGAAGCATGTCATCGCTGTCCTGAATGTACTGAAATCTTAACAGCTTTAGCCAAAAAAATTTCCAAAGCAGGCAGTGAAAATAAATTTTAAATAGGACAAACTCCAAAACTATGTATGCTAGGATCCCAAGGGAGGCAGGGAAAACTGGTTCCTTGGAAGAAGGCAGTCAAAGAACTAAGCAGAGTGACATAGACCCTGTTCCGGTATGTTTGAAGTACTTGGGGGTGGAGTAACCCATTTCCTTCATTCATCCCCACAGCTCCATGAGCCATGAGCACGTCTCCAGCGCGAAGCTCCTCAATACACGACCTCTGCATCACGTGAACCCTTTCTCAGGGGCAAAGGCTAAAGAATATGAAATGGTAAGCCTGTATTTTATCCAAGTTCTGAGAATAGCCTTGGAGAGGACTCCTTGGCAGTGAGGAACAACAGAAGCAGCAAGGCCCCTGGAATCAAGCAGACCTGGGTGTGAATTCTGGCTCTGTCACTGTCTGGTGAAGTGACTTGAACAGTGAATATCTCTGAGCCTTACTGAGTCACGTTCGCCTCACAAGGCAGGTTGGGGGTTAAATGAAAGCGCATGTGAAGGCACCTAGCACGGGGCTGGTCACAGTGCCGGTCTCAGCAGTGATGATGTCGTGCCTGCACTGGCCAGCGTGCAGCAACCCTGGGGATGCCCAGTGGCCACGCAGCCAGGAGCTCCACAAGTGTGGAATTCTCACAGGGAAATGCAGCTCTCTGCTCTAAAGGTCCTATCAAGTTAAAAACTAATTTTAAGATAAAATGCACCAAAAGGCAAATGGTCATCACTCAGCTCCTATGATAAGGGAATGAAGAGCAGTATCTAAAATTACTCGCAAAGCTTGTAAGTGGTTCTACCACTTACTAAAAGGTGTGAACCTAGGCAAGTTATCCGATGTCTGTGAGTTTCAACTTCCTCATCTGCAAAACGGGGATAATAAATATGTACATCACAAGAGTTGTTGGGAACATGAAAATGAGATAACATAGGAGGCAACATGTATCCATGTTTATCATGTGCCAAGCACTATTCTAAAAACTTCAGGCATGTTATCTCACTTGTATAAGAACTTAGGTGCCTGAAACATAAACATTACCTATTGAAGTTATGGGGAAGAGGAAGAAATAACTAAGCTTCCAAGAGAAGGGAAGATAGCTTATTATATAGGTGGGAAGAATAAGATGCAGCTGGGAGAAGAAAAGTATAATAGTTGCTGGGTGTGACAATCTCAAAACTTTTGAACCATTACAAATTAAACAGCCATGCTCAATCACCCCAAAGGACAGGCCTGAATTGTTATTTTCATCTTTAATGTTTATGCCTCTCTGAATCTGAGAAGAAGCTGCCAGGATTCCAGTACATACCAAGATGTGATGACAATACCCTGAAGTGTGTAAGCTTTTGTGCATCTACAGCCATGCAGAGGGAGCCGATGTTAGTGGACTGGGGGCAAGGAGGGCAGTAATTCAATAGGGATAAACGTTGGATTTTCCTCTTATTCCTAGTGCTTCCATTCCTGGCCCAATGTCGATGTGCCACAGACAGGTCAGCATGTGAATGGGCTCTATCTGCATAAGCCTTTCTGCATGGTAGAGTCAGTTTCCAAAACCATGGAGCTTGTATTATTAGAACCAGTGAAGTGACTAAAAGAATTTTTAAAAATAAGGCATCAGTCTGGACCTGTGTAGGCAAATGAAGGAGAAGCACTTTAAAGTCAGGAAGAAGAAAGTATATTTAACATTCAGGATTATCAACTACTGCTGATTTTCCACTAAATATTTCATCTGAAAGAAATATGATTATTACTATCATTTAAAGAGTAGCACTTTACTAATAAGCTCTTGGTGTGTCTTTGAGGTGGATTTCAGATTCAAAATAGACTGACCCTATATCACACTGCTGACTTGTTTACTCAGTGTTTGTCAATAACATAGAGGCTTCACCCAGGAGATTTGCTGGGTTGTGATTACCTGGAACCCAGGGGTGATTCCAGGTTTTGTGAGGCTTGAACCTTATCTAATTTGGGAAATCCTCTCTGATAAAAACACACAAACTTATGAATCCAAAAACCGCCAAAAGGGCCCCCAAAAAGGGCCCCTCCCAGGATGTTGGAAGGTGCCAGAGCAAGTGAGGAGCCCTGCAGCTTAGGCTCCATTCAATTCATGATAAATCCACCACAGCTGGGGCCTTTTTACAAACTTCTGCAATGCTGGGAAAAATATTGCTTCAACTTGTGAACACCCCAGAACTGCGTCATGTTGGTCATGAAATGACTGGCATCTTCCTTTGGCAACTGGCCTTTGGAAAAAGATGCAATAGGCTTATATCTCACTACAGCAAATTAGCTTTGTCTATTAGAAAGATTTGACCCAAAACAAAGGAGCGCAGCCACCAACACACGCTTGGTGTACTGTGACCGTTGTGCCTATCTCTGAAAATAACTGTGAACTAGTTAGAGGGGTACAGCTCTATTCAGATCCCATATCAGGAGCATTAATTTCTAACACCAGCTAGCTCTGATTTTTTTCGTCACCATGAAGCAAATGCCTTTTTCTGCTGTTTAAGGTTAACACACAAACTCGAGATAAACAAGTTGGTGCCTCCTCCATTGTGAGTCTTTCCTAACTCACACCTCAATTCCTGTGCTGTCCCTTTCCCTACCTTGTCACCCTGCTGTATAGACCCCAATATGGCTTTCATGTTTTCTCACCAACATCCTTCTTTCTCCTTCTGATATGAAAGCCTCTTGGGGACAAAGAGGCTTTGTCCTATTCCAATTTGTACCCCTAGAACTTATATAATACCTGGCACACAGCAGGCATGGCACTCAGTAATTTTATCAATGTGATTCCATAGGCTTTTTTTTCTGGTGTTGCCTACATAATTAGAGTGAAACTTAGGTGTTTTTTTGTTGTTGTTTTTTTGTTTTTTTTTCTGAGACAGAGTCTCACTCTGTTGCCCTGGCTAGAATGCCGTGGCGTCAGCCTAGCTCACAGCAACCTCAAACTCCTGGGCTCAAGCAATCCTTCTGCCTCAACCTCCCAAGTAGTTGGGACTACAGGCATGCGCCACCATGCCTGGCTAATTTTTTCTATATATTATTAGTTGGCCAATTAATTTCTTTCTATTTTTTTTTTTAGTAGAGACGGGGTCTCGCTCTTGCTCAGGCTGGTTTCGAACCCCTGACGTTAAGTGATCCACCCGCCTCAGCGTCCCAGAGGGCTAGGATTACAGGCGTGAGCCACTGCACCTGGCCAAAACTTGGGTTCTTATGAGGGACTCTCAGTGTTATAAAATGTTCGGTAAAGATGGTGAGTTTAAGACATTTGTATTGACACCGCCTAAACCTCTTGGTGGAGGGATCTAATGAGTCTGCCCTCTGGTGTGAGGGCAAACAAGAAACAGACCCATAGTGTTCTTCCCTAAGTGAGGCATCAACAAATTAACAAGGGGAGAGAGGAGGCCCCTAAACATGGGCGTCTGCAAAAACTGCTAATCCAGCTCCAGACACATCCTAAACCCGTTCCTCTAGCCCAAAATGAACTGTGTGAAATTAGAATTCTGAACCACAAGACAGGTGATAGTCTTTTCCAAAGTCAGGTTTAGAGGAGGATCTTCACTGTGAGTCTAAAATCCCCTTCAGGCCATTGAACATACCCACTATGATTTGCTTGTGTCACAGAGAAATTATAAAATTTTTTAGCTGAAAGGGAATAAAACTCACACTTCTTGTTGAAGAGTAGTCAGGAAAGAAAATATATGGAATTAGGCTAGAGCAATGTTTTTTCTTTACGAATATTTTTTGCACTATAGCTTAACATAAATATCATCTTTTCCTACATTGCAAAGGTTTCTATTGCCCACAGATAATTCTTAAATTCATACATATATACTTTTTGAAAAATAATGTTCTGGGTGATTGGAGAGAGAAGTGCCCTGTGGCAGGTTTTCGGGAATTCTTTCTGCTTTACCATTTAAAAGAAACTGACACTGAGAAAGCATCCTGCACCTTTTGCTCCCTGGAGGACTTTGTGTTAAGCTTCCTTCTTTATGGCTATATGTTGCACACATTTCAGCAGTTAGAAACTCTGCACATGAGCTGTAATCAAAGTCATATTCAAAAGGAGGATTTCAAGGACAATTCACGTAACAGAGTAGAATTGTTGGGGCTCCCGTGACAAAGCTAATTTGAGCATTACTTGCTTGCTCTCTTTTATTGCCCAAACCAAAGACCAGTACTGGGGAAAGTATAGCCTGTCACATGTAAGTTACACAAGTCTCTTGGCCTCTTTGTACCTTAGTTTCCTCATTTGAAAAAAATGGATGGATCTTAAGACATATTTTTCAGAGTTCATGATGAGCTTATACCTAGTTAACCAATAACTGTATGATGCTTTTACACATAGTTTTTTTTACATGTGTTCATCTATTTCACTTACAACTTGTGTAAAAATTGCATTCCATGCCAAGCCTGAAATGTTCCAAAGCTGAGTTCTGTGAGTAAATTGCAACCAAGATTTCTACAAAAGAAGAGAGAGATAAGCCAAAGAAGAAAAAAAGATATTCAGAACATTGATCATATGGCAGTGATCCTAATTTATATATGATGAAACATGCCCTTAATACTTTCTCCATACACTAAAGAAATCTCACTGTAGAAGACATTGGCTTATGATTTATACTTTCATATTTACACATGTAGTGCATTAGATACAAAACAGTGAATGCTCAACAAATAATTGTGTGAAGAGATCTTTATTTCTCTAGAACAGAGTTTTACAACTTCAATGCTGTTGACATGTTGGCCTTGTAACTCTTTGTTGTGGGGATTTGTCCTGTACATTGCAGGTTGTTTAGCAACATCCCTGGCCTCTGGCTCCCAGGTGTCAGTAACAAACCCACAGTTGTGACAAACAAAAATGTCTCCAGATATTGCCAAATGTCAGCTGGGTATAAAATCACATTGGTTGAGAACCATTGTTCTATAATGACTCACTCTGATCTGTGTAATAATTCTCACACTAATCTTTGCTAGAGAGGAAAAGGATTTGCTATATAATTTTAGTAATTTTCTACTAGTAAAATTTTAATATTTCAAAATGAATAGCAAAGAGTTTTACAAGTTTAATAAAAATTCCAAATTTAATGAAGTTATATTTGTAACTTACAGAAACTCCAAAAATGGCAGTGATTCAAATGCTCCTCTTTCAATAAACTGGATTTTATTGCAGGATAAATCTCTAGAAAAAGGAAGATATTTCTTTGATTAGCTATTAGATAATTAGCAGGAACGAATAACAGAGTTTAGAATGATAATATTGAACATGTAGTTTTAGTCTACACTGTGAACTTTTGGATTTGTTTTAGAACTTTCCAGAGCCCCTAATCCTGCCAGTATCTCTTCTAGAGTCTCACTTTCATGATTTTCATAAATATTTTTCATTTTATTATAATAGTTTTTTTAGAGATAGGGTCTCACTCTTGCTCAGACTGGTTTTGAACTCCTGAGATCAAGGAATCTTCCTGCCTTGGCCTCCCAGAGTGCTAGGATTACAGGTGTGAGCCATTGCACCCTGCCAATTTTCATAAATAAAATATGCAACTATAGATCTTGATAGATTTTGGATGTAATCTTTCCCTAGAGCAGGAGACTTGATTAGGTGACCTTTGTAGTCTCATCAAATTCTAGATTATGAGCTTAAAGTATTTACCTTTCTATATAATTTCTAGTATGAAAAGGAATGATCTCACATTTATACACCTTCCTGGTTTAACCCTTTGCACTCGGATGTCGAGTGTGGATAATGTCGAGTGGATAATGAGAAAAAAGCAAGCGAGTGCAAAGTGTTAATTGTGTTTTTCTAAGCCAGTTCAATACTAAAATAAATAAAAGATATCCTTTCACATCATTTGAAAGGAAATTATTCTTCTAATTAATGTATAACTTTGAACTAATTCAGAATTATACCATATTAATAGATATTCATTTGGTTTTATATTACTTTAATATTCCACAAAAGCAACTTGTTTGTTGTACAGTGATAGGACAACAAAAAACAACATGAACTGGGTTTTTATTTGAAAACACCCATTCTTGACTACAGTTGACTATTTCTATTGATTCCAGCTTGTCCCTCACTCTTCACTTACCTGGTGTAACTCTGTCTGACTGATATCTCCATCTGTAGTCTCTTCCTTTCTAAACTATCCTGCACACAGTCACCAGATGAACTCTCCAGAAGTGGTTCTCAAAGACCAGCACCTGGGAATTCATGGAAGCTGCAAATTCTCTGCCCTACTCTAAACTGATTGAATCTGAAACTGTGGGGGTGGCATCCAGAACCAAGGCCAAACAAACCCTCCAAGCGCTTGTCAGGCAGGCTCACAGTGGTCTTCAGCACGGCTGGTATAGCATGGTTCCTCATCGTGGCTCCTTTTCTTGGCATTCAAACCCTAGAGAATCTGGCTCCAGTCTTCTACTGTCCCTTCTTGTAATCTACAGGTGTTCACGGCATTCCTCAAATACTTTCCTATGTTTTGCCTTTCTCCCGTTTTCCAAGTTTAGACTATTTTCCCCAAGATATCTGTCTAAGGATACCCAATGGCCCTTTGAGGTCCTGTTCTAAACCATTGCTCTAGTAGCATCTTCGCTGATCCAAACTGAAGTCCTTTCTCCCTTTTCTGTACTCCAGAAGCAATTTCTCTCTCTCAGTACCCATATCTATTTCTTCTTTTTGATATAGTTATTTTTGCATCCCATTTCTTCTGAGTATAAGCTCCTTGAAGGCATGCACTACGTCTTGCTCATCTGCCATGTTTAAAACTGACACATGAAAATAAAGCAAACTCAAATGTTTATAAAATGAATAGCTGAGGAATGAACGGCAGAAGAAAAGTAATTGTTTTAAAAGAAATATAATTTTATTATTTGTGGCCCCTCTTCTGCACGTCTGCAGCACTTTGTCATCTACTTAGTGCTTGTTGCATTATGGTTTGAGCTTGTTTGTTTCTTTCCCCTGTGAGACTTTAAGTTCTTAGAAAGGTAGGAACCCTGTTGTACTCATCTCTCTGCGCCCAATATTAGGCACGGTGCTTGATATATTCTTTCTTAGCTTTTTTTATTGATTGGCATCTTTTAAATAAATGAGAATATGTATGCTAATGTGAAATAATTAGCTTACAAAGTATTTCATAGTGGAAGTAATAAAGGGCCTACTCTATTGAGCAATCAACTCATTTCCTTTTTTCCAAATGTGGTAGAGATACCCAAGAAGACCAATACAAAAGTGGTCATCCCCTTAAGGCCTAGAACGTTTGATAATTCAAAGGACTACTTTTAGTGTCATGTGAAGCTCTTTGTACCCACTTCCCTTAAGGCTTCTATATTTGAAAGAAGAATCTGTTTGTGCAAGAGCAGCATTAATTAACTTCATAAGGATTAATAATGTACATACTTCTGGACCTCAGGGACAAAGGATAAGAATCAAACTTTCATAGGAAAGAATATAGTATCTTCTTATCTCTAAACAGATAGAAATACTATGCAAGTATTCCCTCCTTGGCAACAAGGCTGGAAAGATTTTTATTTTGTAATTAGTGAAGAATTAGGAGCATTTCTGATATGCTTACTTAGCATAAACATTTCTAGCTATACCACTTAACCATCATTATAAACAACCAACCATTTTTAATATGAGTATAACAATTTCTACAGTGAAACCCTTAGTACCAGTCTAGTCTCTGAAATATATTTTAATATTATTGATATTATTTATATTCATATAATTCATTTTATTTATATTTAAATGTTAATTTAATTCAGATTAAATTATCAAAACATTCTGGGTTCATGGCATTCAAACTAGTATAGATGGTCTATATTTTCCTTCCTTTTAGGCAACAACTTGAGGTTAACTTTAATTCCTCTCATTCTACTGAATCAATTTTTTAAAATCTTTTTCTCAAGGCTAGAGAGTGAATATTTTAGGCTTTGCAGGCCACATATGGACTCTGTTGTATATTTTTGTGTCTATTCTTTTCTTTTCTTTTACAGCCCTTTAAAAATGTAAACCATTCTTTACTTATGGGCTGTATATAAAAACAGACTGTGGATTAGATTTGATCTATGGGTCGTAGACTAAATATAAATATAAGCAGATGGTATATGAACCCTTATAAAACAAGGTTTATGTGGGTGTCAATAATTGTTCAGATCTTATGACGACTTTTTCCCTATAAGTGACGTTCCTTTCTGTCTATATGATTGAAAACACTGAAAATGCATAGGAAGTATCTAATGCTAGAGATGGCCTAAAACCCTACACAGATTTAGAGAACTGCAGAATTTTATTGCTGGAAGAAATTTTAGAGATTGTCTAATTTGAATCTCTTATTAATTGTGTAGATAGTATCACTAAAATTCTCATAAATAAATATGATTAATTAACTAACTTACAAATACCGGAGGGATAGCAGGCCTTCAAATGAATCTTTATGTAATTCGGTCAACTGATTTTCATTGAGGATTCTGGAAAATGAAAAGGTTATTTCTGGATCAAAATGCAAACTAGCAACAACTATTTGCTACACAGGACTAACTCCTATCTATGGAGGAAACCTGGGTCATGGTGCCACTTGAATGCCCTAATTCTGATTTAATTTCAAGATGGCAATGTCTGCTCTGTTTTCAAACCTTTTTTCACATTCTCCTTTTTGTGTTCATCTCTCTCCACCACACACACACACACACACATACACACACACACACACACACCCCTACATGCACACATCTCTTCCCGCTCTTCCCACCAAATTTATATTTAATGCCTACTCTTCTCTAGATCACAAAGTCCCTGTTAGAACCCAACTCTGGGTAGCACGCCAAGATCAGCAGAACTGCCATTTCCTCATCTCTTTCCCTAAATATTATCATGAAAGCCCCATGTGGACCTCTGTCAGGGCCACAAGTAAAGCCATTAGGTTCTTTGCCCCATTAAAAAACTTTTTGAGAACTACAATGGGCATAAAATGCACATAACATAAATGTTCAGTTTAACAGTTATAAAGCAGATACCCACGTAATATCATGTCAGGAAAGAGCACTGGGAGCATCCAGAAGACTTGGGTCACCCTTTCAGATCACAACCCTCTCTCTAACCCCTACAGGTAACCACTCTCCTGATTTTTATTGCAATTTCCTTGCTTTTAAAATGTAGTGTTACCTATTATATGTCAGCCATAAGCAACATCCTTTAGTTTGCCTTTCCTGAATTTTATGTAAATGGAATCATATTGCACATATGACTTTCTATCTTGCCTCTTTCACTCAACATTCTGTTTGTAAATTTATGATGATGTTGCTTGTAGCTGAGGTTGGCTCCTTTCAGTGCCTGTATGGCGTGTCCGATAGGTCACCACTAGCTACATGTGGTTCCAGAGGACTTCAGTGTGGCTAAGGGTGACTGGGGAACTGAATCTTTAATGTCAGTAATTTTAATTATTTTTAAATTTAAACGCTGATACTCAATGTAGTCATTAGAAAACGTTTAAGTGCGATTGCAACAACGTGGGTATAGGATGCTACTTTTTAAACTGCGTACTGTATGAAATCTAAATATAGATTAAGTATTTTTGATGAAAGTTCAGCAACCAAATTTAGACTTCAAAAGAGTATGGAAAAAATAATATAAACTCTCTAAATAATTTTAGACTAATTACATATTGAAATGATAATACTTTGGATATTTTGAGGACTTAGTATAAAAAAAGAATAGATTATTTTGTTAATAATACACATAATGATTATATGTTGCAACTATAATATTTAGATATATGGGTTAAATAAAATATATTCATGTTTGTTTCACCTGTTTGTTTTTACTTTTATTTTTTAAGTTACTACCAGAAAATTTAAGATTCCATATGTGGCTTACATCATGTTTCTACTGAATAATGCCACCTTTGGGTATTTCATTGTATCATTATACCACAATTTATTTATTCATATACTGTTGATGAATATTGAGATTTTTCTAGTTTTTAGTTATTACAAACAATGCTGCTTTGAACATTCTTGTACATGTATTCCAATAACACTTTTGTCTGAGTTTCTCTAGGATGCAATAGGAGTGCAAAATTGTTTTCCTAAGAGATTGTGCTATTTCAAGTTGGTAGATCGAGAACATGCCAAGTCTCTACCCCTTCCACCTCCACCAAATCCCTAAAATGATAGAATTTAAAAATTCACAACTTTAGCTCAAAACTTGCAAGCAGCTTTACAAATGCTCCCCATCAGAAATGCCCTGGAGCCATCTGCAGGGTTATTGGTTGGGAAACTACAGTAGGAGCAGCCAGAGGCACATCAACCCCATATACTTCCTCCTTGGACCAGGCAGCAAAGGTGTCTTCCTCCAGACAGGAGCAATTGGTGTTAAAAGGGGGCAGGGTCCTGGAACCCTGGAGGAAGGGCACACACTCCCTTACTAGGTGCTTCCCACCTCTTCTTTATTCTCAGGGGAATCCACCTGTAACACAAGTCCCACCATGTCATTTCACCTGTCTCCTGCAGCTGGAAAACAGAAGCAACAGAATTTCAACTACAAAGATGAATTACATTCAGGAATGACGAAACAACAAGAGAAAGCCAACTCCAGTAAGGACAGAAAGCAAACTCAAACAACAAATTAGTTAACAGAGAAAGCACGAGAGGACTTTAGAATAGCAGCATTAATATCTGCAGACAGAGGTAAGCAGATAGTTTATCCACGAAAAGGAATCGACTAAAGATTATACAAATATAAAGTGTTATTAATAAAACACTCAGTATATGGGCTGGGCATGGTGGTTCACGCCTGTAATCCCAGCACTTTGGGAAGCTGAGGTGGGAGGACTGCTTGAGGTCAGGAGTTCCAGACCTTGTTTCTACAAAACAATTTTAAAAATTAGCTGGGCCTGGTGGCACACGCTTGTAGTTTCAGCTACTTGGGAGGCTGAGGCAAGAGGACACCTTGAGCCCAGGAGTTGGAGGTTGCAGTGATCATGCCACTGCACATCCTAATGGACAGAGCAACACCCTTTCTCTGAAAAAAAAAAAAAAAGAAAGAAAGAAACAAAACAAGATAAAAACTTCAGCATATGAATAGCAAAAAGGACAGTGGAACCGGAATGATCCTCAGACAAACCTGACACCTGGGGCTGCCCAAAAAGTGTTACAGCCTTTACTTTAGCTAATCTTACAGTAAAGACTAGGAACATGCTGGGGGAGGGGTACTGCACTGTTTCTAGAACCTGATGAACAAGCAGGCACATAGCTATTTCTCCAAAACAGTGGGGTGAGGAAGTAGTAACAAGCCAATACAGAAGAAATTCTCTAAGATGTCCAAGCAAGCTCCTTTTGCCTGGGAGAATCCATTTCTTTGCAAATGGTATCAACAGCTGTACATACATTGGGAGCCTTGAGGAACTGAGAGCATGCTATATTGCCTCATGAAACTATTTCCATCAAGTTCTGTATTCTTTGACATTTAAAACATTGTGCTTCCCCTTACTGCATCTGTTGGCCACATATTGATATTAATTTCATCTCATAGCTTATGACAACAAAATACTACTACCTAGAGAGCATTCCACTGAAATTAAGGGCAGTTCTCAGTTATAAGGTGGTCCATATCATACACAGTATAGTTATATACATATTAAAAAGATTATCATTAGGCCGGGCATGGTGACTCATGCCTGTAATCCCAGCACTTTGGGAGGCTTATCTGGGAGGATTGCTTGAGGCCAGGAGTTTGAGGCTATAGTAAGCTGTGATGAGACCGCTACACTCTAGCCCGGCTGACAGAGTAAGACCCTGTCTCAAAAAAGAAAAAAAAAAGATTATAATTTAAATAAAAACACAAAAACTTTAATTCCCCAAAAGAACTCTTGGAACCCTGAGAATGCATCAGATTCTGTCTGACCTCAATTGAAATCCACCGTGGTGGAAGGAACAGTGATATTCACAATACATGTGAAGGGGGCAAACCAGGCGATTTGACTTCTTACTTTGGTTAGTGAACACTTTCACATTTCCATGGAAATGTTCAAAAAGGAAAAACAAATCAATGTGTCCAAAAATGTTTATAGTAATCCTCTTCATAACTCTAAAATGTTGACAAAACCCTACCTCCCCATCACATAACAAAACTGTATGGATATGCTACGGACAATATACAAAAAAGACATAGGAAATGATGGCAAATGAAAAAAATCAAGACAAAAATGAAATATTTATTAAATTTAACTTTTAAAATTTTTTAAATTAATGGAGGTTCTTTCTGTAAAGTTGTCTGGATGAAAAGGCAGTAAAAATTTAAAAAGTAACAATAAATTCAGCTTGGAAGGAAAGTTTACACTGAGAAGTGGGTTAGTCATCACAAGATTGCCCCAAAAAAGAGCTTAAAATAAGCAACTGAAATAAAATACATTAATTTATTGAACTCCAAATATTCATTTTGATTGAAGCAAAAATTTTAAAATTATAGGGAATCAATCAGTTATTTCCAGATCTAAAATTTTCTCAAACCATGACAATATCAAAACCAGGCCTAAACTAAAATTTAAGACATCCATGTTTTATATATTTTTTTAAAATTTGAGACAGAGTTTCACTCTGTTGCCCAGGCTAGAGTGCCGTGGCATCAGCCTAGCTCACAGCAACCTCAAACTCCTAGGCTGAGGCAATCCTCCTGCCTCAGCCTCCCAAGTAGCTGGGACTTACAGGCACGCGCCACCACACTCAGCTATTTTTTTTTTCTCTTTTTTAGTAGAGATGCGGTCTCGCTCTTGCTCAGGCTCGTCTCAGACTCCTGAGCTCAAGCGATCCTCCTGCCTTGGCCTCTCAGAGTGCTAGGATTACAGGCATGAGCTACCATGCCTGGGCAATACATCCATGTTTAACTCCTAACCAAGGCAATCTTCTGAACTTCACAATATTAATTCTTGATTCTATATAATAGACAATTGTCCTTCTTCTTATCTTGTAACTTTTAAGAAATTGAGAGAACTCAGGATTTATTTGAGTTTAAATATACATATAATGCAAACAGTAGGCCATTCTGAAATTGAGTGACTCTCCCTCCTTTCTCTCTCTTTTAATCACTTATCAGGACTTGAAATTATATCTATTATATTGATAAATTTATTTGTATATTTATAAGCCCCTTGAGAACTGGGATATTTGGTTTATTTTGTTCCTGGGCCTGTATCCCTGGCACCTACAACAGTTCCTGGCACATAGTAGATGCTCCATAAATATTTGTTGAATGAATGAATGAAGCAACAGATACCAATTTTCAGATTTACTACTTTTATTTAAAACAAATCATCCATCTATTATTATTCGTGAGGATAAGTACAGCTTTGCAGGAAAAGAAATATCTTCCTTCTCCCCTACATTTGTAACTCAATCTTGTATGAAATACAACCTTTTGAGAATCTCATAAAAGCTATGGATCCTTTTCCCAGAAAACTGCACTTTCTTGAATATATGTAAATATATGTATGTAGTTTCCATTTGTGGATCACCGCTTTAGGGCAGAGGTCCATGAAAAGAACAGATTGAATTCAGGGGGCCAAACCTGAATGGGAAGTAAAATTACATCTCTATTTTCACAAATAGAAATTCAGAAATCAATGATGATATGACACATAAACTTTTGTGAAATGATACTTACTTTGAATGTATTTTTTTCCAAAATCATTTATGTACATAAACGGATTCCTTCAACAAATCAATAAGAAAATGATAAAACGATTCAACATTAAAAATGGACAAAGGACAGAAAACTCAGAGAAGAAACACAAATGTTCAATAAATACATAAAGATATTTAAATTCACAAGGAATCAGAAAAATTCAAATTTTGTTCACCCATCATATTAGCAAAGAATTGGAGAATACTCAGTGACAAAAGGGAAAAATGAATGCTGTCATATTCTGTTGACTGTAATGTAAGGTGGCACAACTTTTTTGAGAACAATTAGAATTTCATACCTACATCGTCTTCACACCAACAATTCCATTTCTAGATGTCTATTCTACAGAAATACTTGCCCATGTTTATAAAGAAGCATGTACAAGGATTTCATAGCAGCAATGCATGTAACAAGAAAACTGGACATAAAATATAAACATCCAGCAATATGAGAATTATTAAATAAATAATGATATATCCATATGGAATATTATGTAGGAGTTTTCTTTTTTATTTTTTTATTTTTTTTTTTTGAGACAGAGTCTCACTCTGTTGCCCAGGCTAGAGTGAGTGCCATGGCGTCAGCCTAGCTCACAGCAACCTCAAACTCCTGGGCTCAAGTGATCCTCCTGCCTCAGCCTCCCCAGTAGCTGGGACTACAGGCATGCGCCACCATGCTCGGCTAATTTTTTCTATATATTTTTAGTTGACCAATTAATTTGCTTCTATTTTCAGTAGAGACGGGGGTCTCGCTCTTGCTTAGGCTGGTTTTGAACTCCTGACCTTGAGCAATCCACCCACCTCGGCCTCCCAGAGTGCTAGGATTATAGGCCTGTGCCCGGCCTATGTAGGAGTTTAAATGAATGGAGGGTACTTAGAGGAGGGTACTTAGAGTACCCTCTAAGTACTAGGAAAGAAAGAAATCTAAGATATATCATGAAGTGAAAGAATCCAGTTGCAAGATGTTACCATTTATGTTAAAAAAAAAAAAAAGATAAAAAGACCACACAACAAATCTGTTTTGCTATATGTAAATATAGATGTAGGCAAATACTTGGGAAAAGGTCCAGAAGGATATATGCCAAACTCAGAGTAGTGGTTACCTCAGGGACCAGGGATCAGGGCACCATACCTGTTGTTTTGTTTTCATACATTACGAATATAATTGTGTGTTACTTGTATAACACAAAATAAATTTAAATCGCCTCTTATTTTAAAGAAAGTCCACCAAATTTAATTTTAAAATAATCATAGAATTACCATCAACAGAGGTTGATTTGAGATAGGGAGGGGGAAATATCTTTCCTCAGAAATATTGACCTCAAAATTCTGGACCAAGAAGGATCTTACAATGCAGTTAATTTTTTGTACTCACATTTGGAGAGAATATACTCACAGTTTCTCAGTCCAATGGTATGATTTCCAGACATCCTTATCAATGTAAGAAATAGCATTTCCTTGGAAATTCCTGTGAAGAAACATAGTTCACATCCTTGAATAGGTAGGAAAAGAATAAATAGAATAAAAGAATCATGGCAACCTTGTAGGGGATATTCAAATACAGAAAATAATCCCAGCTTTCTAATTTCCAGAGCTATCAGCTTTCCAGTTTGCATAATTAATCTAGAATGAGGTGGGACCACTGGCATGGATGATGATGCATCTCCTCAGCAGCTTAACTATTTTTTTTTTCAAAATCAATTATGTGTCTAAACTGACTACTTCTACAAACCAATTAAAAAATGATAACTCAACAGAAAAAATATGGGCAAAAGTTTAGCATTATCAAATAAGAATTTATTTAAATAATAAAGAAAAGAAACCTATGTCAGGTAACAGCAAAGCTTTAGCTAAATGCCCTCTGTTGAAACCTCTCTAGGTATTGGAAGGATAAGGGCAATTAGAAATTAGAGGGACTAATGTGCTGACATGGAAAGATCTCTTAGACATATTGCATAGGGAAAAAGCACAAATCACAGAGCAAAGAGTAAAGTACTACCTCATTAGGAAATAAAAATGCAAAGGAGAGAGATTGGAAGGAAGGGCACACACCAAAATGGTTAACGGAGTTATCTTATGGGTGGTAGGATGCAGGAGACAAGGGTGCTGGGAGGATGGGAGTGCAGATTTTCACATTTTATCCTACATATATATGCTTCTTCTTTTTTTATTTTTTTTTAAGTAGGAATATATCCATGAATGACACATGTTTAAAAGAAAGGCGGGGGATGGTGGTTCATGCCTGTAATCCTAGTACTCTGGGAGGCCAAGGCAGGAGGATTGCTTGAGAGTTCAGGAGTTGTAGACCAGCTTGAGCAAGAGTGAGATCTCATCTGTACTAAAAATAGAAAAATTAGCCAGGTGTGGTGGTCCACACCTGCAGTCCTAGCTACTCGGGAGGCTGAGGCAGGAGGATCACTTGAGCCCAGGAGTTTGAGGTTGCAGTGAGCTATGAAGATGCCGCTGCAACTCTACCCAGGGCGACAGAGTGACTCTCTGTCTCAATAAAAATAAATAAAAAACAAAAAATTATTTTAAATTTATAAATAAAATGAAAAATAATTAAAAAAAATAAAAGCATGCATTATTTCTTCATGATTAGGTTCTTATTAAACACTTTTGTCAAGAATGCTAGATACATGATATTGTCTATTATATGACACCAGAAGTCATATAATTTCAGGTTTTTCCACTATTGGTGATATGTTCACTAGGTTAAGGTGCTGACTACCACATCACTCCATCGTAAGGGACAGTTTGTCCTTTGTAATCAGCAGGTTGGTATCTTGGCACTGTTTGAATATCTTATCCCTTCATTTAACTTTTATTTTTTGTGTACATGTTTATAATATATATTTCATTCTTATTTTTACATATACAAAATATTATATATATATATATATATATATTTTTTTTTTTTGAGACAGAGTCTCACTCCGTTGCCCAAGCTAGAGTGTTGTGGTGTCAGCCTGGCTCACAGCAACCTCAAACTCCTGAGCTCAAGTGATCTTCCTGCCTCAGCCTCCCAAGTAGCTGGGACTACAGGCATGCACCACTATGCCTGGCTAATTTTCTATATATTTTTAGTTGTCCAACTAACTTCTTCCTATTTTTAATAGAGATGGGGTCTCGCTCTTGCTCAGGCTGGTCTCGAACTCCTGAGCTCAAATGATCCACCTGCCTCGGCCTCCTAGAGTGTTGGGATTATAAAATATTATAATTTTTAACTGCTTCCTTAATTTATATATTCTCTCGGTTTTTGAAAATACTTAATATGTATTGGTGTGTTTAAGCTGCATTCATTCACTATTTGGCCATTGTTTCCCTGGTCTGAGCATATGTTGAATGACTTAATTTTCTCTTGATGTAGCAAATTAAAGTATCTGAGTTCCTAAAAAATAAAGAAATAAAAAAGAAAAGAAAGCTGTTAGGTACCTTATAGTCACTTTCAACTCTGTGGATGACTTTGAATCTTTACCTTTAACTCTGTCCTCGTTCCTCAGCAACACTTTTACTTAATCACTTTCTAGTTTCAGTACAGTTTCCTCATTCAGTTTGCCATTAGGGGGATAGAAATCAGTCAACACACACATTTGTCTCCTCATCTGCCTACTGCACATTTCCATTCAACCAGAAGCTTCTGGTTGCTTAATGCTCAGCATTAAAAAATTGTAAAATGTCCAAACTAAACTCCCTCCCTCAAACTGACTCTCTACCCTGACTGCTGCATGTCCACTTGTCACACTGCCATCATTCTCTTCGTCATCCAGGACAGAAACCTTGGAGTCACATTTGATTTCTCCCTTCCCTGTACACACCATCACCCGACTCCCTAGTCGGTCACTGAATCCTGTCTGTTCTGTTTGTCATGTTGCCAGGACTTTCTTCCCACTCCTGTCACAGCCACTCAGATTTAGCCCCTTCTCACTGTACTCCTAGATTTTGCTAGAGCTTTCTATTTGGTCCCCCCGAGGTAAGCTTTCCTCTCTAGAGCGCTCTACATGTGGATTCTAAAATAATCCTCCTGTCTTAATCATTTCTCTCTCTTGCTTGAGAACCTTCAATGGCTCACCATACCTCATCGCATAACTTTCAAACTCCCATATCTGATATTCGAGGTTTTTCATAATCACGTCTTTCATTGCTTCCTAACCCAATTCTTTGCAGCCAGACTGGTCTAGTAAATCCCCATCATTTCTGCAGCCATGTCTTTGCCTAGACTTTACTGCCTAGTTTTCTTTCTAAGCCCCAGATGAAGTTTCAGCTTATGCAGGGAACTTTCTCCTGACCTCCACACCTCAGTGGTTATAGATTCTGGTGAATTATGGCACCTCTGGTCTGCGTCTCTCATAGTATTTAATTACAAATCACCTCCCTTTTTATGCCTATCCTTTCTTCCCACCTATCATTTTCATGTTCTAGAGACAATGTCATACTTTGCCCTAGCTGGGGGACAAAATAGCTGCTACATATAGAATGCCAGGTACAAAGATGAGTTCCGGACATAACTAAGGAACTGAATAATAATAATAGCAGCTAACATTCGTATGTGTGCCCGGCACTGATACATGTGTTACATGTACTCACACACCTAAATCTCACAACAATCCTATGAAATGGTAACTATCATAATCCCCATTTTAAAGATGAGGAAATTGAGTCATAGAGCAGAATCACTTGCCCAAGGTCACAAAGCTAATAAATGACAGGCGGGGGTTCAAACCCAGGCAGTCTGGCTCCAGAACTAACCACCTTGTCGTGTCATCATTAATGAGACGAGGACATGCCACTGTGAAGAGAGTGGAGCAAACGCAGGGGGCAGAGGTTAGGGAGGATATGATGGGGCTAAATAAAACTGGTTAAGGAAAATGTAAGAGTAACACAAGTAAAGTTTAGAGAAGGGGTACAATAGTAAGAAGGAGAATGAGGATAAGGAAAAGTTGACAAGTAAAAGGAGAAAGTCAGTCAATGAAGAAGGCCCAGGAAGGTCTCAAGGAAAATGCTGCCACATGAGGTGGGGTGCAGAGAACAAAGGAGAGGTGATGCTTACAAGACAGTGAAGGTGCCATTATAGACATCAGGCTCCTGCACAGGCACTTGGTGGAGCCTCTGCTTTGGTCTGAGACCAACACATGACATTGTCTCATCTTTGCAGGTACAGAGCTCACATATGTTGGTGGCATATGTGGTGGCACGCTGTTCTGAGATGGTATTTACAGTAAAATCCATCTCAGAAGGATGAACTATAACTTCAGGCAGAGTCCGAACCTGGTCTGGAAGTGGAGCTACAGCTTTCTCCAGGGTGACAGGATGTTCAGACTGCACGGTGGGTACTGAAATCATGGAAAACTCTAGGTCTGAATGTTGAACTGTGACACTGGATGACATTGGCTGCTGAGCTTGAGCTTGACTTGGTGTTGGAACTGATATCTCATAATACACAGGAGTTATAACGTCCTTAGGCAGCTCTGGAGGCTGAGTTGGGGTCTCCTGTATAGTTCCAGAAGGTTTAAACTCTGCAGGGGGTTCTGAAGTTACAGTAAATTCCTGGTCAAAAGGTTTAACTGTGACTTCATTCAAGTTTGGCTGTTGGGTCTGAATCTGGTATGGATGTAGAAGTGTCACCTCAGGATATTTTGAAGGAGCTACAGAATGTTCAACCTCTGCAGTGAACATTGGAGTTACTGTAAGCCCCAGGTCCAAAGGTTGAACTGTGACAATAGGCGACAGTGGATGCTGAGCTTGATTCTGACCTGGAGTTGGAACTGTCATCTCATAATTCACAGGAGGTTGAGCTATAGCCTCCTGAGGTGGCTCTGGAGACTGAGTTGGGGCCTCCGGCATGGTTGGAGAAGATTCAACCTCCATATTAGGTCCTGGAGTTAAGGTAAATTCCAGATCAAAAGGTTGAAGTGTAACTTCAGACAGGTATGTATGCTGAGCCTGAACATTGTCCAGATGTGGAAATGTCACCTTAGAGTGTTTTGGAGGAGCTGTAGTCTTCATCAGGGCTATAGAAGGTTCAGCCTCCATAGTGGGTTCAGGAGTTATGTTAAGTGCTAGGTCCACAGGCGGAACTGTGACACTGGGCAATGCTGGATGCTGAGCTTGATCCTGGCCTGGTGTTGGAAGTGTCACCTCTTGAAATACTGGATGTTGAACTACAACTTCATTAGGTGGCTTTGGAGGTTGAGTTGGAGTCTCCTGCATGACTGGGGAAAGTCCAACAGCTGTAGTGGGTTCTGGAGTCATGGCAAGGTCCAGGTTCAAAGGTTGAAGTGTGCCTTCAGTCAGGTTTGGATGCTGAACCTCAACCTGGTGCGGATGTGGAAATGCTACCTCAGGGGGCTTTGGAGGAGCTGTAGAATGTTCAGCCTGTATACTGGGTTCTGGAGTTATGGTAAGCCCCAGATTTAAAGGTTGAAATGTGACGCTGGGTGACCCTGGATACTGAGCTTGATCCTGACCTGGTGTTGGAACAGTCATCTCCTGAGATGTTGAGGGTTGAGCTACAACAACTTCCTTAGGTGGCTCTGGAGGTTGAGTTGGGGTCTCCTGTATGGTTGGAGAAAGTTCAACCTCCGTAGTGGGTTCTGGAGTTATGGTAAGCTGCATGTCCAAAGGTTGAAGTGTGACAGTGGGCAATGTTGGATTCTGGACTTGATCTTGACCTGGTGTTGGAATTGTAACCTCTTGAGATATTGGGGGTTGAACTACAACTTCCTTAGGTGGCTCTGGAGATTGAGTTGGGGTCTCCTGCATGACTGAAGAAAGTTCAACCTCTGTAGTGGGTTCTGGAGTCATGGTAAGCCACAGGTCCACAGGTTGACCTGTAACAATGGGCAATATTGGATACCGGGCTTGATCCTGACCTGGTGATGGAACTGTCATCTCATAATTCACTGAAGGTTGAGCTACAACCTCCTTAGGGGACTCTGAAGGCTGAGCTGGAAACTCCTGCTGATGTAGAGGAGGTCTGACCTCTTCAGCGGACTTCGGAGGACGGCCCAAGGCTTCCCGCTGGGTCCCAGATAGTTTAACCTCCTTAGGGGACGCTGGTGGCTCAGCTGGGGTCTGGTGTTGGACTGGAGAATGTACTAATCCCTTAGGAGGATGTGAAGGCTTAGCTGTGGCCTTTAGCTGGACTAGGGAAGATTCAAACATTTCAGGGCGATCCTGAAGTGCAGAAAAGGGATCAGACTTGGTTGCAGAAAATTCAGCCTGTTCAGTGGAAACTGTAGACTGAGCAGTGCCCTCCCACTGGACTGAGTAAGGCTTAGCATTTGTAGTGGGCTCTTCTGTAGTTAAGGTAATCTCCAAATCCACATGTTTAACTGTGGTTTTAGGCAACATTGAATAGCCTCTGAAAATCATAGACAGATCTAGAGGTGAAAGTCCCATTGTATAATTAATTGGAGTGAAAACTGTATAGGATGTTAGAGGCCGAGTTGTGTGCTGTTGCTGGCCTGGTGAAGGTCTAACACCTACAAAGGGCTCTTGAGGTAATGCTGAGATCTCCTCCTGGCTTGGAGATGGTTCCTCAGGAAGTTCTTCAGGCTGAGTTGGGACCCCTTGATGGGTTGGAGAATGTTCATCCTTTTCAGGGAAGTTTTGCTGCTGAATTATAACCTCTTCTTGGCCTTTCAAAGGTTTAAGCTGCTGAGGGGACACTGTAAACTGAGCTGGGGCCTCCTGTTGGGTTGGAATTTCAACTTCATTAGTGAACTCAGGAGTTGTGGTAACCGCATGATCCACAGGTTTTATGGTGACATTGTGTAATAATGGAGGCTGAACTTGAGAAACTGTTACCTCATGATGCTCTGGAGGTTGAGCTACAACTTCATTAGGGAGCTCCGAAGGCTGAGTTGGGGCCTCCTGCTGGGTTGAAGAAGGTTCCACATCATTGACTTGCCCTGAGAGTTGAGGTGTAGTCTCTTGGTGGACTGGAGAGGTTCCCACCTCTGTAGTAGGCTCTCCTGCTGTGGTGAACTGCTGACCTGGAGATGTAACTACATTGGGCAAGTCTGAATGCTGAGTTTGATAGTTATCTGGAGGTGAAACTGTTACTTCATGATGCCCTGGAGACTGAGCTGGTTGCTCCTGCTGGATTGGAGAAGGTTCCACCTCAGGATGTTCTGAAGGCTGAGCTAGAGACTCCAGCTGGGCTGCAGAAGATTCAGTCTCCATGGTAGGCTCTGAAGTCATGGTAACCTCCACATCCGGAGGTCTAACTGTAACATGGGGTAAGTTATAATGATGAGGTTGAACTGTTACCTCATGATTTGGTGGAGTTTGAGCTATACTCTCTACAGGGGACTCTGGAGTTTGAGCTGTGGCCTCCTGCTGGGTCTGAGAAGGTTCACTCTCTTCAGGAGACTCAGAGGGCTGAGCTGGCTGCTCCTGCTCACTAAGGGAAGGTTTGGCCTCCATAGGAAAGCCTGGAGACTCAGCTGGGGTCTCCTCCTGGGTGGCAGAAGGTTCTACCTCCTCAAGAAGCTCTGGAAACTCAACTGAGGCCTCCTGCTGGGCTGGAGAAGATTCAGTCTCCTTAGTAGGCTTTGAAGTTATGGTAACCTCCACATCTGGAGGTTTAACTGTAACACTGGGCAAGTTATAATGATAAGGTTGAACTGTTATCTCATGATTTGATTGAGTTTGAGCTATACTCTCCATAGGGGACTCTGGAGCTTGAGCCAAGGCCTCCTGCTGGGTCTGAGAAGGTTCACTCTCCTCAGAAGACTGATCTAGCTGCTCCTGTTCACTAAGGGAAGGTTCAGCCTCCACAGGAAAGACTGGAGATTCAGCTAGGGTCTCCTCCTGGGTGGCAGAAGGTTCCACCTCCTCAAGAAGCTCTGAAAACTCAACTGGGGCCTCCTGCTGGGCTGGAGAAGATTCAGTCTCCTTGGTAGGCTCTGAAGTTATGGTAACCTCCACATCCAGAGGTTTAACTGTAACACTGGGCAAGTTATAATGATGAGGTTGAATGGTCACCTCATGATTTGATGGAGTTTGAGCTGTACTCTCCATAGAGGACTCTGGAGCTTGAGCTGTGGCCTCTTGCTGGGTCTGAGAAGGTTCACTCTCCTCAGGAGACTCAGAAGGCTGATCTGGCTGCTCCTGCTCACTAAGGGAAGGTTTAGCCTCCAAAGGAAAGCCTGGAGACTCAGCTGGGGTCTCCTCCTGGGTGGCAGAAGGTACAACCTCCTCAGGGAGCTCTGGTCTTTGATCTGAGCCTTCCTGTTGTGTTGAGGGAAGTTCGACCTGCTCAGGAGCTGGGGCCTCTTGTTGGGTTGAGGAAGGTTGTACCTCGTCATGGTGCTGTGGAGGCTGAGCTGGGGCCTGCTGCTGACTTGGAGTAGGTTCAATGTTGTTACTTGGCTCTGGACTTACTGTAAGCTCAAGATCCACATGTTTAACTGTGACTCTGGACAAGACTGAGCGTTGAGCTGCAGTCCGCCTTGGAGATGGAACATTTACTTCATGATGTATTGACGGCTGAGCTACAACCTCTTCAGTATCAGGTAGCTGCTGAGCTGGGGCCTCCTGCTCTGTTGAAGAATGTTCTACCTCCTCAGGATATTGTTCTGGGGCTTCTTGTTGGAGTGAAGAAGATTGGATCTCCTCAGGGGTCTCTAGATTTTGAGTTTTATCCTCTAGATGGAATTGAGAAAGTTCAGGAGGCCTTGAAGGCTCATGTAATTTCTGTGGGAATTCCAGAGGTAGGCCACGAGGATAAACTATATCCATAATTGGATCTAGATAATTATCATTCTGTAGAGTTTGTTTTTGATGCTGTGGTTTTGATGCAAATTGATTTGAAGTTCCAACAGCCACCCTAGCAAGCCGTCGATGCTGGGCTAGACCTTTCTTTAGGATCTTTGGTGAAATAATAAACCTTGTTGGTTTTGAACTCTGACTATCTAGAGGTGGAACAAGTATTTCTGATGCCTGGTGATCTGCAGCCTGATCTAGACCTACAGCTTGAATCTTACTTCTGAGTTGAGGAGGCTGAGGTAGGACTTGAGACTGATCCCAACCTGGCACTGGAACCACCTCGGGGAGCCTTTGTCGTTGAGTCAGCTTGTCATTCAGATCCCGATGTGGAACAGCAAACTGATCTCGCCCTGGAAGCAGCTCTTGAGCTGACTGCGTGTCCAGGAATGGAGCCGAAGTCTCAGTCAACTCCTGAGGCGGGCCCAACATCTGGGAAGAAGCAGAGGACCCCAGGTAAGCAAAGCCCTCGGGGTCTGCGGAGGGTGTAAGCGCAGGGGGCGATTCGAGTGAGACATCAAAGGAGCGGGAATACCGGCGCTCAGTAGGTCTTGGGGGTTCGGAGGTGAGTGGGACAGGGTTCCAGGCCCACTCCAGAAGCGGAGCTGCCTGGACCAACAGCCACAACGACTGCCACGTGAGAAGGACCCATGGAGTCCAGAGGCACAGTAGGAACATGACGTGTGGAAGCTCCAGCGCGAGCTGGAGCCGAAACACTTCTGGCAGCCCTGCCGCGCGAGCACCCGTAGGAAGCGTGCGCCCCGCCCCGCCCCGCCCTTTATCTATGACACCTTTGTTTACGCAGCAGCCTTTATTTAGCTCAGGCCCAGATCCGCTCCGTGCCACCCGGGCGAGCTTTTCCCCACAATCACTGGGCCCAAGCCTCTCTTCCCCTGCAGAGGTACAACTGTCCCCCACAGGAACACCACTGCCGCCTTAGCGAGGAGGGATTTGGGCCACAGACCCAGGTGGCCCCAGAACTCCAGCAGCCCATTGGGGTATGGACGGCTGAGCTTCCCAAGGAAGTCACAGGGCCTCTCCTCTCCATGTATTCGGAAGTGCTAGTCCAGTTTTGGCAGCCTGAACTCGTCTTCCTCCAGACTAAAATCTGAGAGATATTCTTCCTCTCCCTGGCAGGACTGCTTCCAAGAAATGCAACTGACCTGCAAAATGAACACCAGTTAGGGTGGCAGGCAGAACACACTTTATGGTTATTTACTCCAAAATGTTACCATTTTTGCTCAACTTTCAGTATCCTTTGTTCCATGTATGATAATTAATTTACCACTCTATTAGATAGGGGCTGCCACAGAATCAGTGATGACTCCAAAATTTCTGTAAGAGTGGTTTTAGGAGTTGGGCAATTCAGTCTAGGAAAGAATGTGTGAATCCGAGTGAATAGCCCTTTATGTCAGCATGGGCAAACTCCTCCCCCCCACCACCATTCTGCCTTGGCTAAACACAGCCATTGACCTAGAAGTAACTACGCCACTTTTCAGAGGTCTATCCTGTGTGCACACATGAAGAAGAAAGGATCTTAAAGTCAGCAGGTTAAATAATTTTCTTGAAATACTACTATAATAGAACTCAACTGACTTAATTCACAATCCTTCCTATCTATTTTATGACTTGTTTATTGTTTGGTACAACCGATAATATGTAAACTGAGAAGGTGCTTCATCCTTTTTCCCAGTGTCTAGCACATGGCTTGTCGCATAGTAATGGTTTTAAGTTGGAAGCGATTCCAAAATCCGCCTCATTTAGGGATGGACCTGTTGTTACAATCATGTTTCCGAAATCAGTGTTGACTTCCTTCCTTCCTCTCATTTCACAGGAAGCTAGTATTCTTAGCGTTTGACATTACTTTCACTGGTTTTATTTTAATAGAATTAAAATAATTATTTTACATGGAAAAAGCTTCAAATACTTTTTCAGAATGGAATCTCTTTCTCTTCCTTTTTCAAAACAAAACACTTTGCAACTCTGGAGCAAGTTAAATAATCAAAAATCTAGCCCCAAATTAAGTTCCCATTAACACAAAACATAATTTTGCTCCTTAAAAAAAATCCTATACATAGTAAATAATGACTATTTTAGATATTACTTTACCAACTTAATCCCTAATTAAGGTATTTCATATACAGTTATACATTGCTTCCCATGTGAGGAGGAGCTTGAAAAATGCATCATTGGGCAATTTTGTTGCTGTGCAAATATCATAGAGAGCACTGACACAAACCTAGATGGTATATCCTACCACACACCCAGGCTATCTGGTATGGCCTATTGCTCCTAGGCTACAAACCTGTACAGCATGTATTGATGCTGAATACTGTAGGCAACTGTAACACAATGGTAAGTATTTGTATATCTAAATGGAAAAGGTACAGTTAAAATACAGTATAAAAGATTAAAAAAATGGTACACCTGTATAGGGCAATCCCATTATATTCTTATGAAATCACCATCACTTATGTGGTTTGTTGTTGACAATAAGGTTGTTATGTGGCACATGACTGTAATTGATCTACAGAAAGGATCTTCGGCAAAATATTCCATCCAAGATATATAGAAGATATTGAGCTCTAGGTAATAAGCCACATTTGAAAGGCATAATAGTTTTCGAAAGCTATAGCATAATCACACTTAAAGCAATTGTTAGTTCCTGCTCAAATTCCTGGGATCTTGTTTGAGGGGCCTATCTTCACGTAGCCCAGAATCCCTAAACCCTGGTAGGAGAGACTAACCCCTCTCTTGTGTCTACAACAGTAGTAGTTTTCTAATAGTCCTTAATTCTGTTCTCTAAACTTCAAATAAGGGGTCAAAGCCAAGGGCCAGGACTTTAGTAAAAGCCCCAGAAATACCCTGCACTCAAAAGCAGTTTCGGAATTTCACACGTTCCTAAGAATGATACATGCTGAAATATTCCAAATCCTGCTGGTTGTCTTGAATTATGGCTATACTGGCTATGTTACCCTTAAGCTTTTATCTCCACATACTTGAATTAAATCATGTAGTTCTTCACTTCTGACATCTACGATCTCTTCACTGGGTCTGTATTCCACAGCTATTTTACCACTTTCTGAAATAAAGTTAACAAAGATTAATTCAGAATTCTTTTTTGTTCTAAAACTTATTGCATTTAATGATGGCACCCCTTAATGAGACATTCTTTTGATCTCTAAAAGCAGAAAATAAGGGAATTTTCCTGGAAATTTCCTCATCTCACACTTTTTTTAACATGACTATTTATTAAAAATATGTATGAAGTGTCAACTTTGTTTGGTTCAAAAAACTTTATGATCTTACAGATAGGAACCATGGAATTTGTAATTTATAGGAAACAAAAAATGTGAAAACAAAAATGTTCAATCATAATATGATTAAATAGTAAGGCATTAGGTGGGGGTCAAAGTGAGTTCAAACCTGGGATAGAGACCCCGGGACTAGCGGACACTTCATATTAGAAGCAAAGGGTAAGTGTCTACTCCCTGGGAACCAAAATTCCACCAGATATAATGAACAAAGCTTCGCAGAGAGAAAGCATTTGAACATCTTATTGGCAGAAATTGGCCCACATACCATATAGACAATACAACTTCCTTCAAGGCAAACTAGAGCTGTGAAGCTTTTGGTCTAAGGAGTTTTGAGTATGTATTAGGGATCTTCACATACTAGGGAGAGGTAAATAACCCAGACACCTAGTTTGGTTCTTGAAGATTATTACTTGGACTTGACAGTTGACAGAAATTCTACCTGATGACCAGAGAAGTAAGACTTTCACTAGAAGGGCTGCCAGGTTGGAAGGCTGAGACCAATCAGGGCCATCTCTTTTAAGCAAATAAGGGTCTCTGGTAACTTAGCTAGGATTTCTCAGTCTCTAAGCCTTCAGGGCTGTGAAGCAGAAGAGCAATTCTGTTCCAGGACTCTCTGTTCATCAATTTTCCTTTGAGCACAAACTGTAACATTCACACTGCTGTAAAACTCAACAGGGGACATAATGCCATTCAATAGCATGACCACTTTCAAGGCTCACATGAAAGCAGCCAGTTATTACATAAGAATCATATTCGCCCAATGTCAGTGCTACAAATTAAAGCTGAAACTGAATCTTGATTCATAAAACATAATCTGATCAACTCTCTTCAATAGAGTTTATCTATTTATTCAGATAGAAAACAATGATAATAATAGTTAACATATTTTGTCTGTTTACTATGTAAGCATAGTTCTGAGTTTTTGCATTTGTCATCTTATTTATTCTTACAATATCCCCCATAAGGTAAGTTGAATTACTAACCTCAGTTTGCAGAGAAAGAGATTGCAGCTTTGAGATATTAAACATCTTCAAATCTCTCTGGCTATAAAACCTAAAATTGCATTAAAAATCTGAAAGACAGAGTTAGGACGCAAACCCATGTGTCCAAAGCTTATAATCAGTATTCTGTATGATAGGCAAGCAATTGAGAAAGAAGACTTGGATCAAACACTTTCTGTGTTAACTGAGGAAAGTCATTCCACACCTATAAACTGGGGACAATAATATTTGCTGTCATTTTTCTCATAAATGTCACAAAGAACAAATCTGAGATTGTTGCTGTAAAAATATTTAGTGAATAAAAGCATAATGTGGAATGTTTTAGATATCCATATTTTCATTCAATTAACTTTTCAAAATGAGTTTACTTGCTCATAGAAACTGAAGTCCTTCAAGGACAATCAAGAAAGTCTTGCCGGGCGTGGTGGTTCACGCCTATAATGCTAGCACTCTGGGAGGCTGAGGTGGGCGGATTGCTCGAGGTCAGGAGTTTGAAACCAGCCTGAGCAAGAGCGAGACCCCATCTCTACTATAAATAGAAAGAAATTAATTGGCCAACTAATATATAGAAATAATTAGCCGGGCATGGTGGCGCATGCCTGTAGTCCCAGCTACTTGGGAGGCTGAGGCAGCAGGATTGCTTCAGCCCAGGAGTTTGAGGTTGCTGAGAGCTAGGCTGATGCCACGGCACTCACTCTAGCCTGGGCAACAAAGCAAGACTCTGTCTCAAAAAAAAAAAAAGGAAGTCTTACTGGCTGGGCACAGGTACTCATACCTATAACCCTCGCACTTTGGGAAGCAGAGGCAGGAGGGTTGCTCAAGCCTAGGAGTTTGAGACTAGCCTGAGCAACATAGTGAGACTGTGTCTCTATTTTTAAAAATTATTTAAAATTATAGAAATAGCTGGGTGCAGTGGCTCATCCCTATAATCCTAGCACTCTGGGAGCTCAACGAGGGAGGATTGCTTGAGGCCAGGAGTTCAAGACTAGCCTTGAACCAGAGCCTTGAGCAAGAGCAAGACCCCGTCTCTAAAAAAGTAGAAAAAAGTAGCTGGGCATAGTGGTGCACGCCTGTAGACCCAGCATCTCAGGAGGCTGAGGCAGGAGAATCGCTTGAGCCTAGTTGTCTGAGGTTGCAGTGAGCTATGAAGATGCCACTGCACTCTAGGTGACAGGGCAAGACTATCTCACCAAAAAAAAAAAAAAAAAAAATTATAACAATAAGAAATAAAAATAGAAAGTCTTACCTAAAACCACAATCAGTAGTTTCTGGAATGCATCTGACAAAGCCTTCTGAATAGCAAACTTCTGAGCTGTCTTCCTTTTCATAAGGAACGCTAATGGTCCTAAATCCAACCCAAATAAATGAATTTAAAATGCCTATTTGAATGATAATTGCTAAATGTTTAAAGAATGTAAATACATCCATGATTCTTAGATCATTATCTTAGTGATCAAGGGCAAACAGAACACAATGGTATGGTTGAATGGAACTGTTGTGGGTATCTCCTGGTAGGGCTCATTTTCACTGCCTCTATGTAGTCTGGAAGTTTCCTGAAGGACTACAAGGGAGATACAAGCCAGAAACTTGGCACAAGTCTACATAACCCACAGATTTCATGTTGACCAGTTGAGGCTACACTCCTACAGACCATACCTCCTATGCACCAAGGGCTGGAATCACACACTGAAAAAGGTTTGGTGGTGGTACAGATGGTCTGACCCCTCTGTGGGCACCACCCACAGGAGCCTACTTCACTCTACTCACCTACCTCTGACTTAGAACCCTAAGCCTGTGGACCACGGATTCTAGAAAAAACTTAATATCAATTGAGTACCCTGTCTACATATCTATGTTTGATTCTTTTTCTGTTCAAGCCCGTCCATGAGTAGAAAAAGAACTGAATGTTTACACAGGAGTTTTTGTTAGAGGATGATTTTGCTGGGACAACTGAAGGCTACAAGAGATCTGTATTTGAAGGAATATTTTAACACAAAGCAAGGTCTTAACCAAAAATTGGAAAAAAATTATTTCCCTCCTCCTCCTTCCTCCTCCTAAGCTTCTTGGAAAGAGGTCAGCTCTAAAATTTTTAACTTGAAGTTTCTGTCAGGTATTGCGTAAGGTAAAAACCTGTAATTATAAGGGAGAAAAACTCTGCCCAGGACTTTAGTAGCTTAGCAAGGGGAGGGTCTGATATGTATCTGAAAAGATGAGTTTTAGAAAGTAAGAAGAAAGGGAAATCCTTCCCCCCCACTGAAAACAGACCTTCCTCCAGCTCATGCACAGGCTCCTCTGCGACGCCGACTCCAGGACTCCTGCATGCATAGGATGGCAACAGCACCTCTAAAGCACAGAAGAACTTCAGGCTTTGCTTCTGAAGTGGTGCCACAATATCTTCATTTTCCCTTTTTTCATGGTCAGAAAGCTCCTGAAGCTGTTAGGATTTTGAATTAAAGGTTCTCCTTAGGATCTTAATGTAGACTTCAAAATGTTTTGTTATTAGAAATAAAAACTAGCCTCTCATAATCCCAGCTTATAGTTCATGTGTCCTATAGCTTCAAAATCAAGCAAGATTTGCAAATGAATTACTAGATATAGACAACCATTTTTATTATATGCCACACAAACACTGAGAGAATTATGGAGACCACCATCCAAGTGATTGAGATTATTATTAATTCTAGGTGGCAGGGAAATTCAGATACATCCACTTACCTTCAACAGTAGGAAGCCTCTCATACCTCCTCCCCACAACCCAGTTCAGTCCTTCCGTCTAAAGTCTGGGATTTCAATGTTAAAGGGAAAGTGTATTTAGTGAAAGAAAATCTATAAGGTTTACCTTGATGATCCTTTTTGACCATCCATTGAAACCAAAGTAGTAGTTTGCCAATTCTTGACATTGGAAGCTGTTTAGGGCAAGAGCCTGATGTTGAACTGCTTTATGTCTGGTGCCAAGACGAACCTAAAGTCACAAGGGATAAACCTACAATATCGCAACCTGCCAGAGATTTTATTTTATTTATTTTTTTAGAGACAGAGTCATGCTCTGTTGGCCAGGCTGGATTGGAGGGCAGTGATGTGATCATAGCTCACTGCACCCTCCAACTCCTAGGCTAAAGCAACCTTTCACCTCAGCCTCCCATATAGCTGGGTCTATAGGCGTATGCCACTGTTCCCAGCTAATTTTTAATTTTTTTGTAGAGACGAGGTATTGCTGTGTTGCCCAGGTTGGTCTCAAACTCCTGGCCTCATGCAGTCATCCCACCTCAGCCTCCCAAAGTGTTGGGAAGAGATTCTATTTTGGATACACTTGAGATTTACCAATACAGATTTCATAAAATGGATGTGAAGATTAAATGTGATAGAATATTATAAGCACTGAATTCATACTAAGTCCTAAATAAGTGTTATTGATTATGTCTAAGCCACAGTACTTTTCTGAATCATTTTCAGGGCCCCTGATTAATTGGAAAATTTCCCTAACCTCTGGTAGTGAACAGTGATGATGAAAGCAACTAAGGAAGCCCTGCAGAGGTAAATTATAGGGTAGTAATTGAGCAAAGAAAAGAAATCATTTCAGTCTTCCTATCTAATAGCTCCTGCTTGAGAATATGGGCTGAAGAGCAGGTAAGATGATCCCGCCACCCACCCCTCTTCCCAAGTTACTAACCCCTGTCAGAAGAGGTAATAGACATACTTATATAAATTTCACAAGTAATGAAAACAATTAGAGGCTCATCTGCATTAAGAAGCTTCTTTAGGCTGGGCGAGGTGGCTCACACCTATAATTCTAGCACTCTGGGAGGCCAAGGTGGGTGGATCGTTTGAACTCAGGAGTTCGCGACCAGCCTGAGCAAGAGTGAGATCCTGTCTCTTCTAAAAATAGAAAGAAATTAGCTGGACAACTAAAATATTTATAGAAAAAATTAGCCGGGCACATGCCTGTAGTCCCAGCTACTCAGAAGACTGAGGTAGGAGGATTACTTGAGCTCAGGAGTTTGAGGTTGCTGTGAGCCAGGTTGATGCCACGGCACTCTAGCCCCAGCAACAAAGTGAGACTCTGTCTCAAAAGGAAATAAAAGAAAAGAAAAAGAAGCTTCTTTAACATTTTACACATTACTGTGGATTTCTTCCATCACTAGTTCTTTCTTATATGTCTATTTCATTTCTTAAAAAGTGTAGTACATGAATAGTCATAAAATTCAAATAATACAGATAAAATCAAAGTCATATTAAATCTTTTTTTTTTTGAGACAGAGTCTTGCTCTGTTGCCTAGGCTAGAGTGAGTGCCATGGCGTCAGCCTAGCTCACAGCAACCTCAATCTCCTGGCTCAAGCAATCCTTCTGCCTCAGCCTCCCAAGTAGCTGGGACTACAGGCATGCGCCACCATGCCCGGCTAATTTTATATATATATATATTAGTTAGCCAAATAATTTCTTTCTATTTATAGTAGAGACGGGGTCTCGCTCTTGCTCAGGCTGGTTTCGAACTCCTGACCTCGAGTAATCCGCCCGCCCTGGCCTCCCATAGAGCTAGGATTACAGGCGTGAGCCACCATGCCCGGCATAAATCTTTATTGACTTATTTATGCGTCTTCCTCTATCACTAGTTTATAAGCTCCTTAAGTGCCCGAGGGAACAATGTCTTATTCTTTTCTCATTCCCAGAACCAAGCAGAGTTCTTGATATATCATAGAGGACTGATTGTCTTGTTGATTGAGTGAATGAATGAAGGAATGAGTAAATAAAAACTGAAATTACTTTCTTCAACTGAAGAGATGAAGATAATGCCTGTTGGGAAGGAGAAACTTTTGAAGGCTAACTTTTGAATGCTGGATGCTGAAGGGAGACTTGCCTGTGTTGTGAGTCAGAGTGGAGCTTTTCTGGACAACCATAAAGCCTCGGAAGGGCTCTGAGACCCTAGATAATACAGACAGTCATCACCTGGATAACCTTGCCACAGTTCTTGCTGGCAACCATTTTCTTTCATGCCACTGAAAAAAAACTCTTTGAGGTGCCTTAGGCCTATCCTCAATTTTATTTTAAAATGTTATTCTCTGTATTTATAAAAGGCATAAAACACAAGAACTATGTGTACTTGCCAAAGTATAAAAGAATACGTAATTAAAGTAGATGATAATCTTGGGGGGATAGTAACCCAAACTCTGAGTTAAGTAAATAAATGTATTTAATACATAAATACATCTATAATAATATGAATGCCCTCTCCTCTCAACTATATATTGACTTGTAGATCATTTCCTTCATCACTCTATTGGTTATGGGCTTTATGCTGTGAAATTCTCAAAACCTAAAGCTTATGGAATAGTCTCAATATCCAAAGAGCACTAAAAACTCATTACTCACAAAATGATACCAAGTAACTATTTCATAATATTTCCAGTACCATCTGTAATATCTGAGTGGTTATGTGAGATGGTCACTGGTTAAGCAGATCATAGTCCAAAAATTAAAGAATGTCTGACAGGTAATCATTGCAATCACAGGAAGTGGAGCCAGGATTGAAGAGGGTGTTGCACAGGCTACAGAAATGGAGGTGGTATACCTGGAGTCACTGCTAAGTAGAGTTCTCAGATTCAATCAAAATTAAATCAATGAAGAAAGGAATATGGACAAGAAAAGGCAGCAAAGTCAGCAGGAAGTAGCCAGATCAAGTAGCCAATGAGGAATTGAAATGGTCCTTGAAAAAAACGGAAGATGGTTGAATTGAGGCACAAAATATCATTCTGTGTCTCTGGGAAAGTAAAATTGGTTGGCATGTTAGTATGCAATTGGGTTTTTACAGTGCATTAAAAAAAGGTTCCTGGCCGGGCGCTGTGGCTCACGCCTGTAATCCTAGCTCTTGGGAGGCCGAGGCAGGCGGATTGCTCAAGGTCAGGAGTTCAAAACCAGCCTGAGCAAGAGCGAGACCCCGTCTCTACTATAAATAGAAAGAAATTAATTGGCCAACTGATATATATATAAAAAATTAGCCGGGCATGGTGGCGCATGCCTGTAGTCTCAGCTACTCGGGAGGCTGAGGCAGAAGGATCACTCAAGCCCAGGAGTTTGAGGTTGCTGTGAGCTAGGCTGACGCCACGGCACTCTAGCCTGGACAACAAAGTGAGACTCTGTCTCAAAAAAAAAAAAAAAAAAAAAAAAGGTTCCTATGTTCTGGGGATTCTGAATAGGCGTTCTGAATAGGCAGCTTGAGAGTTATGATGAGGATGATGATGATAAAACTTCTCTTATGTTACAACTGGCAAAAAGAGTTTGTCATGCTCACACATTTTAAATCTACATAAAAGTAAATATGAACAGAAATCTCCTGGGAAAGAGTTCTTAAAGGGCAGCACAAAATGACATGGGATTTAGCATCAGTAAGTTTGGGTTTGACCTCTAGCTTTCATGGTTCTTTTTTTTTTTTTTTTTTTTGAGACACAGTCTTGCTCTGCTGCCCAGGCTAGAGTGCTGTGGCATTAGCCTAGCTCTCAGCAACCTCAAATTCCTAGGCTCAAGCAATCCTTCTACCTCAGCCTCCAGAGTAGCTGGGACTACAGGCATGTGCCACTATGCCTGGCTAATTTTTTCTATATATTCTTAGTTGTCCAGCTAATTTCTTTCTATTTTTAGTGAGACCATCTCGTTCTTGTAAGAGGCTAGTCTCGAACTCCTGACCTCAAGCGATCCTCCCGCCTCACCCTCCCAGAGTGCTACGATTACAGCACCCAGCCTAGCTTTCACAGTTCTAGTCATGAACCTTAAGCAAGGCCCTTAACCATCCTGAGTTTGAGTTTCTTCATCTAAAAGCAAGGAACTGGAAGATCAGCGTGGCAATGCATCTGAGAGTATTCAGTAAACCAGAATGCCAGGCAAACACCAGCATATTATTATTGAATTCAGCACTTCATTCCAGTGGAGCTAAGAATCCCACATTTGGACCCACCTTCACTGGAGATTTCTGAAAAAGCTGCTTCCGGTCGCATGCCTTTTGGGCTCTATGGGCATCCCTTGCTGAATAAAACTTGATGATGGCATAGAAACCAGGACGAGCTACTGCAGCGTTTGGGAAGACCCGAACTGAATACAGAAGGCCAAACTGGGAGAATTCTGTGAATAGAGAATTCTGTGGGGTGGTCCCACGCCAAGTAAGTGCATGAAATCTCATGGCCAGAAAAACAAAACTTCACGTCCCCTCGTATTCCCCAAACCCTTCTCCACAGTGGGTGCAACTCGAAACACTTCTCATTTCATGAAGAAGTTTTCCTCTTAAATTCTAAGCTTTAAGAAGCTTTAGAAGGCAAAATGTGCTGGCTGTTGAGAGTTACCTCTGGGTCTCTGTAAAATCTGTTAGTGCTAGGTGACTGCTGGGACCCCCTACCGAACTAAGAGCCGGTCAGTGGAGGCTAAGCGGCAGGTGAGGTGCTAGGCAGCACTCCTGGGCTCCCAGTCACGGGTGGGCGGCTTTCTCCATCCCTCCCTCCACCCTGGCCCCGGCTCACATGCAAGGCCTCGGCCGTGGGTCCAGAGCTCAGCTCCCACACTAGCAAGGTTTTGTCACTCTCGGTGGGAACCGCAAAAGGCACCAACTCCGCCATCCTACCGCCACTGCGCCTGTGCGGCTAAGGCTCGAGCAGTACTGCGCCTGCGCAAGGCGTGCCCGCGCTTTTTTAAAAACGAACGCACGCGAGGGGCGGGGCCGGTACAGCGCGGCCGGCGGGGGCGGGGGCGGGGCCGGCATTCAGTGCGCTCCCTCGCCCCGCCCACCCCAGGCGGGTTTCAGAGTCGATTCGCTCCCTCCAGCCACACCGCTCCAATCTCAGAGTTGGGCTTCTACTCAAGGGTGTTTTTAGGGAAGAGTCTTAGGATGGGCTTTCAGGATCAAAGGGTAGAGACATCTTCATAGCAGTCGGCTTCATCTTTACCCCTGGAGGAGACTAGGGTACTAGGTAGTTAACATTACCTGCTGATCTTGTAGGAAATAACCGCTAAAGATGCTTTGCCTTGACGTGAGTGTTTTCAATTTAAAATACGCAAATTAAAGTATAACTCACTAAGCCATTAACAGTCGCATCCTTAAAAAGAACTCCCTGGTTGTCCTGCGTGATTCTGATAAATTGCGTATGTGTGTTTCAGATGGCGTGGGAGGTTGGGGTGGGCAGAGAAAGAAGGAGAGATAAATTTGGGGACAAAAATCAAACAATGGGTCCAAATAGGGCACCAACATTGGAGCTGATGGTGCCTGAGAAGGGGTGTTCTTGGCGTCATAATCGGCTACTTACTGAGAGCGAAAGAGTCCTAACACTCTTTAAACTACAATGTCAGAACCAGAAGAAACCCTGCAAAACAAGTCTCCTGTGGTTTTTATAAAAATAATAGTCCTCAGACCTGTGCTTGTCTGTGATGAAATTTTTACGTGTCCTCAGCTAAATGAGAAAAGGACAATGTAATCAGGATTCTTTTATTTCATAAAATAAAATCTATTCCATTTCATTCTTCTACAAGCATGACCTCCTTACAATTCTGACACACAAAAAATGTGATTTATGAAAAGATGCTGATAAATAGGGAATAGTTGTTTTAATACACTTACTTGGGCATTAAAATTAAAGGTTGGAAATCTCAGGTTTAATTTTTTTGACATTTTACTGGCTTGTGAAATCCTGAAGTCTGGGAACTACTGAATAGTTAAATCTCTCATCTTATAGCTGAAGCAGTTAACACTCAGAGGAATGAGTGGCCAGAATAACACCCCAGTTTGGCCAGACATTACTGATGGTGGCTATGTACAGGACATTCTTCCAACTGTCCCTCTGCTGCCTTTGCCTTGTCTTTAAGTAGTTCTACTTTACACCAGCACCCTCCAAGCAAACTGGATCCTATCCAGAGAATACTTTTTTAGTCATCTAGATTCTATTAATAGCCCATCCTCCCAAACCACCCCAAAATCATTAGCACCTTTCACCATTTCTCCATTCCACCACTCCTTTCTCCACCTCAATACCAGACCCTCACCCCCAAGAACCTCAAGAGCAATAGTTATGTTTTATCTTCCTTCTAGTAACCAGCACACTTCTATTGTATTAGGTACTCAAATATACATGGAATTAATAATGAATAAATTAGCCTATTCTTTGCATAGGCACTGCTTTAATAATTCAAAAACTATACATTTCTTTATTGTGGTTCTCTTGGTTTTGCAAATGACAGACAGGAACCATGGGACCGGGCCTGGATGCGAACAAGGAGGAAGCCCAAGAAAACCATTTATTCCCAGGGCTCTGATCAGTTTTACTTGGAAATGGGAAGGGAAGAAAACATGAAGCGGAGGCAAGAGGAAGAAGAAACAAAGAACCTCCAAGTGAGGACAGGAGTCCTGGAATGACTCTACAGCGGGCCTGCACCCTGTTTCATTACAGGTGGCATCCTGTCAACCAGTAGGAGAGTGGCCGGCCTGCGCAGTGCAACCTCCATTCTACCCTGTGGAGAAAAAAGACATGGTTCTTGCTTCCCACTTAGTGGCGTCTCCACACACACGACCCAGTTCTTGTTGAGTTTTCCATGCAGAGCAACACCCAGAATCCCCTTCGTTACTAGCCCTCTGGTCTGTCCTTCACTGGCTCCTCTGATTCTCCCAGTAAATATCCCTCATCCCTGGTATTTTCCCTCTTCTCTGATCAGTACACTTCCACATTTTCAAATCCTCATCTCCCTCTGAATGGGGAGACAGCACTGTTTTTACAGGGCTGAAAGCTATTAAAAAACAAAACAAAACAACAACAATAAAAACCAAGTGTAACCATTTACTCTCCAGAAAGGCTCAGCTCTAATAATCATCAATGTCCCTCTTGTACAGTGTTTTGAGTATGCAAAGCATTTAATTCCCTCCATCCTCAAAATATCTCCTGTACAGGCAACCATTTATGTTATTTGTATATCTAGTTTGTAGCTCAGAGAAGGTAAGTGACATCCAAATGTCCCCCGTTAGTGAGCTGATAGCTTTGGGGGCGTCTGCCCAGCCGATGAATGTCATGCTTTTAATAGAAAAAATTGCCTATCCTGGCTAGAGCGCTCCTGCCTTAGCCGTGATTGCGTTCCTTACTGCCTGCTGTATCAACAGCTGATTGGACCAAGGGGGAACACGTGGCCTAAGCTGAATCAGATTCTCCGTCCCAGGAACTTGGGTGGGCACTGAGCGTGTTCAGTCCCTACAGTTGTTTAGGATTTTGGCACACAAACATGGGGCGCACATAGTGTGTCTTGTGGACTGGGATCAGAGAAAGCTAGTCTGCAGAGTGGTGAGGCGAATGCACCAAAAGGAGCCAAAGCCTGCCAGGGAAAGCTTGCTGACAGTTTCCAGCCCTGATTTCATTCCTTCCTGAGGCCGGCTGCACCCCTTGAGTGGGCTCAGGAAGACACCTTGTCCTCCCAGAATAAATTTCCCCCAGCCAGCTCAAGTTGTTTTCTGTTACTGCAACCAAAAGAGTTTTGTTTAATACACTACCAGAGAAAGAACCAGATCTCAGGTCTTCTAGCTCAGAGCGCCACCTGAGCTAGAAGCCTCCACCAAGCCTGTCCACCATCCCAGATTTTTTCAGATGTGGCAAAGGTGTGCCCATGAGTCCTTGCCTACTGCCCCTTTCTCTGCCACATCCTCCTTCCTGGGGCTCTGCCAGCTAACTGGCAGAGTCCCACCGTGTCCTCCTTACCATTTGTTCATCCCCCCGGATCTGGACACAATCATTTTTGCGCAGTTAATGCCTGAGAGAAGGTTGGGGTTCAGCAGATCTGAAAGGGAGAAAAAGAAAACCCGTGAGGGCAACAGAGGACAGTCCCAAAGACTGAGGCAGACACTGGCCCTCCCTGAACAGCCCTGTGCCACCTAGCGGCTGAGTACTTCCAGTCCAGGCAAGGCCTCCCTCCCAGGGCCCATTTAGACATCTCTGCAATGGCTGCTGGAGGTTGGGGGTGGGCAGGTGTGGAGGTAGGAGGGGGCAGGAGGACTGAGATTTGGGCCTGTTCATTACTATTCTTCCTAGCCAGGGTAGACGGTGGTTCACCCACAGTTTGGCGTGGGGGTGGGGTTCTAGGAAGAGGAAATGCCAAAATAGACAGCACAGAGGCAGCGGTAAAGTCCTGCCTAACTAGAGGGACTCTTCAAGCAAGGAGCCCAGGGACGTTAGTGAGAGTGTGAAGAAGGAGGTGAGGGACAGAGTCGTGGGTCCTATCAAGCCTCCTGGATCAGTGTTAAGGTGGAGAGTTTGCACTTGACCTTTGCTCAGACTCTTAACCGAAGATGGTACCACTGAGTCATTAGAGCTGAGCCTTTGAGGCCACCGGTTTGGCCTTCAGTGCTGGTTCTCTTCATGGGCCTCAGTTTGCTCATCTGTAAAGTGGGGATCATAAATAGCGTGGAAGGTTGGGTGAAGTGAGCTGTGCATGTAAAGTGCTTAGTATATAATATCCTTTCAGTGGAACTTTGCTGTAGCTGCTCTACTACCACTGGCTGTACAGAGCCTTTCTGGATCCTATTCAAGGACTCTACAGAATCTCCTAACTGCATGGGTGTTAGGGCCACTAGTCCAACCATCGGCTCACTAAAGGGATTCCTAATTCTTTGGACCATCTCTTGGGGGACATTCCCAGGCTATGGGTGGAAAGAGAAGTCCTGTAAGCAGAGCCTGGTCTCCTCTCTCACCTCTCCCACCCTGGGGCCCCGGCCAGACCTTGACAGTCCACATGGCAAAGGTTTTCCGAGTGACTCTTGTAATCGTTGCACCAGTAGTGGCTGTTGATCTGGAAGAGGCCATAGTCAAAGCTGCCATCTGCATTTTCATTTACCTTTGATATGTTGAAGTTGCTTTCTATAAAAGCCAGGCACAGCCCTTAGAATGGAGAGAAGGTGGTCAGAATTTAGAGGGAAGCAAGCCAAGTGAGAAGGGGAGGAGAAAGGGACAGGAGGGATCGGACAAAAGGAACAAGGCCCGAGAGGCTAGATGGAGCGAGAGGACTGGAAATGCCCATTGGCTTCCCTTCTCATCCCTCGATTCATCCACCCATTCCTCGGTACAACCACTCATCCAGCCTTCCATCCATCCATGCTTTCTGCACTCACTGAGCACCTACTGTGTGCCAGGAACTGTGCAAAGCCCAGTGAGGGACATTCGGCTGGGTCAAGCACAGATGCTGCCTTCAAGGGCCTATATTACAAGAATAAAGATAAGTACCTTTAAAAAGCCACAAAGCAAGATAAAAGGAGAAAGTGTTGCAAGACAGGTGTGCACAAATTGTGGGTAAAAGTGGGATAATCCTTCCCTGCAGGAGGATGAAGCCTTTGTACTGGCTGTTCCCTCTGCCTAGAATGTTCTTCCCCCAGACATTTGGGTGACCAGGTTGTTCATTTCATTCAGTGCTGCCCAATGTCACTTCCCTATCTAAAACAGTGTCTGCTGTCACTCCCTCTGCTTTATTCTTCTTCATAGCATTTATCACAGCCAGGCAGTACTGTCTATAACTGTGTGTTTTTTTATTGCTGCCCTCTTCCCCTAGAATGTGGACACTATGAGGGAAGGGAGCTTGTTTATCCCCCATGTCCCCATGGCCTAAAGCAGTTCTTGGTACACAATAAGTGCTCAGTTAATAATTGTGAATGAATATGAAGTGTTGGGAAAGGCTTCTTGGAGGTGGGGGCTTTTTTAACTTGGCTTTGAAAGACGAATGGGAAAGAAAGAAGCTGGCCACTTAGGGCATGACTAGGAGAGGCGGCCAAATGGCAGGAGAGGGGCTGATGGCACTTACAGTCACTCAGGAAGTAGCCCTCAAACCCATTCAAGTCTTGCTGGTACAGCACCCTGGCCAAGTCACAGCGATGGATGAGGCTGGCCTCGTTTACGACAAGGAGGCAGCTGACCAAAGGGATGAGTAGCTCCCTCGTCATCCTTGGAGGGGAGAAGGTGTGGTTGAGGGCCTATAGTTTTAGGGCCTCACAGACTTTCTGCTGGTCTTCTCCAAAAGCCAGAGGAATCTAGAGAGAGCGATTAAATGGCCTTGCTCACTCACTGCTGGCTACCTGGCTGTTTCAAGTCTCTTTTCTCTCATTTATTATTTTATACATTTTTTTTTATCACAGAAAACTTAACACTTACAAAAGAAAAGAGAATAGTATCATGAATCTCCATGTACCCATTTCCCAGCTTCAACAGTTAGAAACCAAGGCCAATCTCATTTCATTTATAGGTTGGCTTTTAATGTACACCCAGCTACGGGCAGCAGTGAGGTCCTGGTGTGGGGAGTGAGGTTGGCAAAGGAGATGAATGAAGACTGAGCTTCACCAGCATTTGTGTGTGTGTGTGTGTGTGTGTGTGTGTGTGTGTGTGTGTGAGCATATGCTTTCAGAAGGAGGACCAGGACACTGGGTGCTAATCTTCCCCCAACCCCGCATCTGCAGACCCATGACACACGATTTTCGCCAAAGGCATACTCTGCCTTGTGCAATTCCTGGTGAGCTGGCAGCAGAAATAAGCTTCACTTTCACACTGTGTGTGTGTATGTGTGTGTATGTGTGTGTGTGTGTGTGTGTGTGTAACAGCAGGGGCTCTGGATTGACACTACCTGCTTTTAAATGCTGGGCTGCTATGTGACCTTGTGGAACATACTTAACCTTTCTGAGCCTCATTTGTAAAACAAAGATATGTTAATTCCTACCTAATAGGGTTGTTGCAATAATTAAATGAAATAATGTCCAGATCTTGGTTTCACATTCCCCACCAAAGGGGACCAGGACAATAGGCTGATTCCCAGGCTGGAGCAGGAAAGGGTTATAAGATAAATCTGGATTCTCTTGTTGTACCAGAAAGTAAGAAAGTACTCAAAATATGGATTGGGGCTTGTCAAATAGACAAAAGAGCCAACTCAAAAGGGGATGGGGTGGTCAAATAGGGAACAATATTTTTTTGTAACAGCTTTATTGACATATAATATTTATTGACATATAATTCACATACCATACAATTAATTCAGTTAAAGTGTACAATTCAATAGTTTTTAGTATATTTGCTGAGTTGTGCAACTACCGCCTCACTTGATTTTAGAACATTTTCGTCAATCCAAACCAAACCCATCAGCACTCATTTTCCTCCCTCTTCCTCAGCCCTGGGCAACCACTACTCTGCTCTCTGTCTCTATGGATTTTCCTACTCTGGCCGATTCATATACACAGAATTACACAAAATACAGTCTTCTGTGTCTGGCTTCTTTAACTTATCATAATGTCTTCAAGGTCCATCCATGCTGTAGCATGATATTTCATTCCTTTCTATAGTTGAATAATGTTTCGTTATATGGATATACAATTTGTTTATACATACATAAGTTGATGGACATTTGTGCTGTTTTTACTTTTTGGCTATTATGGCTTTATGGCTATTATGGCTTTTGGCTATTATGGCTTTTGGCTATTATGGCTTTATGGCTATTATAATGCTGCTATGAACATTAATAAGCAAGTTTTTTTTGGTGGATATATGTTTTCATTTCTTGGGAGTAGAGTCACTACATCAAGTGGTCACTCTGTTTAAACTTTTGAGGACTGCCAGACTTCCAAAGTGGCTTCTCCATTTTGCATTCCTGTCAACAGTGTATGAAGGCTCCAGTTTCTCTATATCCTCACCAACATTTGCTATCATCTGTCTTATTGATCAAAGCTGTCCCAGTGGGTGTGAACTGATATCACATTGTGGTTTTGGTGCGATGGCTAATGATGTTGAGCATCTTTTCATATGTTAGGCTATTTTTATATGTTTGGAAAAATGTCTTTTAAGAACCTTTCCATATTTTTATAGTGAGTTATATGTCTTTTTCATTGTTGAGTTGTTAAGAGTTCTTTATATATTCGCAATACTAGACCCAAATCGTGTATCATCAGGTATACGATTTGCGGATATTTCATCCCTTTCTCTGGGTTGCCTTTCACTTTCTTGATAGTGTTTTTTGAAAGCCCCAAAATTTTTAATTTAGAGCATCAGATAAACCGATGTCCAGTTTATCTATTTTTTTTCTTTTGTTGCTTGTGTTTTGGGTGTCATATTTAAGAAGCCAATGCAAAATGGTTTGCAAGGTAATCTGGGACCATTAGATCACCAAAATAAATGATAATAACAGATTATGCATTGAATGTGATAAGAATCCATGAGTCTATGATATAATAAATAGACAAATAGATACATATGGGGGTGAAGCAGAGAGCTCCTCCTGACAGTAAGATGCTGACTGAGAAATGTGGAGGCAGTCATGAAATTGGAAAAACATCACCACTTTGCGACCATTATAGATTGGTGTGAGCAAGAATCATCAGTGCTAACTCTGAGGCGGTGGGCCGCCTGATAAAGGCCTGGAAACATCTACCGTCTTACAGGGTCTCTCTACTTATTGTGCTTTAGTTGCATGGAAAAAAAAAAAACCAAAACCAGTAACTATAGAGTGGAGAAAGCAGATAGTATTTTGACCTTGCAATCAAAATTAACATCACCCATGAGTAACAGAGGGGCATTATGTGCCTCCAGCTGCGACATCCCGAGAAGGACACAGCATCACTTATGTACTGTTCTGTCCCCAGATGCACGGCCTGTGTCTAATCCCAGGAAAACATCAGACAAAGCCAAACTGAGGGAAAATCCACACAGTAACTGGCCTGTGCTCTTCAAAATGGTAAATGTCATGAAAATAAAGACAAGGCTATTTCTGCCATTGAGGGGGTGTCCATCTTTCCCTTTAAACCTGGTGCATGTTGCTGAGGGCAAAGATTTGGGGTCCTCCATCCACTGCCTGCAAGTGTCAGGCAGCTTCTGGACAGTGGCTACTCAGATGGGCTTGTTTCCTCTTATCTCTCCTATTCTGTCTTCTAAGACTCACTCCACACCAGCCAGAGCTGGGGCCATTCTTTTGCTTCTCCCCTTCTCACCCAGAGTCACCAGATTTAGCAAATGAAATTATAAGATGCCCGGTTAAGACAGAATTTCAGACAAACCAGCCACCCCATTCTGACTCAGTGGGTTCCCTCAGAGATAGCTGTCTCCAAGCCTCAGGAAGCAGGGAGCCCCTGCCTGCCCAGTAAGCCCTCTCTTGAGGTTCCCTCGGGTGTGTTCGCACCCGCCTCTGAAGCTTACCTCTCTCCCTTCCCTCTCTGAGCCAGGTCCCAGCCGGCCCAGGGCTTTCTGTGAGGAACTGTAGAACAATGTTTGGGGTAGGAACCTCCTCTTCCTCACCAACTATGCTCCAGCCCCGCCCCACTGACAGCTCTCCATGTTCTAAAGAGGGTGGGAGTGCTTGGCCTCCCCAGCCTTCTGGAACCCCAGTTCTGTGACGTCATCTGTCTCCTGGAAGTACGTTGGTTTTAACCACGCCAATCGGCCAGGCTTCGGGCGGAAATGGCAGGCGGACAGGTGACAGCCGTAAGGAAGGCAGCTGGGCGGGAAAGGGCAGAGAGAGCTGGGTGTTCGGCCTGCCCACCTCCCTTCCTTTCTGGGAACAGCACCACTTTCAGGGGAACTCCTTTTCTCATGGGGTTTTAGTGGGGGCTGCCAGTCTCAGGCCCTGTCTGCGGGCAACAGGGAATGCCTGTGCCCTCGTTGGTACATTTTGAAGCAGAACGCCGTGGAGAGGCTCAGCTCCTCACAGAAAGCGGGTGGGTATAGGGCCAGAGGCTGGCAGTTTTAAATCAAGCAGGTGCAGCTCATCTGAGGGGCTAAGTCTGGAAAGGATTCCAGGCCTTTCTGGGACCCAAACACAACCTTCACCTTCATGCTATTCTGAGACCCAATAAACGTCCCTACTTGGATAAACCAGTTTGGGTTGGGTTTCTGTCACTTGCAACCAAAGGAGACCTGCCTGTTACAGTCTGCACTGGGTTAACCATCTGTGGAATGGTGGCCTGACAACCTGTCACCTCTCCATGGAGGCCACAACATTTCAACATCATTAGTCACCAAGGAAGTCTGGGAGATATTTCCACCAACCGCAGCAACACGGAGGTGAAAGATAAAGTTTTGTCACTGTATCCACTCCTCCTCTGAAAGAAGATGGCAGGATTGGACAGCAAGAAAGTGTGAGGGGCTTCTAAGCGGGCAGCACTGCCTGTCCCCCCACCTCTGGATGTCCCAGCATGGGGCACCCTGGGATAGGAGGCCAGCAGGGGCTTGGGGGGAGGCAAAACCCTGGCAGGAGGGCATTCTGGGGTACCACTTTGTGGGGTAAACTTTTGTGGTCAAAAATCTACAGGTGCCTCAGAAAAAAATTCATCTCTGTAGAGTGAGAGCCCCGGGCAGGAGGAGAGGTTTCCATAGCCCAGGACCATGTGCTAGAAATTTGGTCTCTCTGCAGCTTAAAAAAAATCTTAGAGGATTTGGCCAGGAGCAGTGGCTAACGCATGTAATCCCAGCACCTTGGGAGGCTGAGGCAGGAGGATCACTCGAGGCCAGGAGACCAGCCAGGACAACATAGGGAGACCCCATCTCTACAAAGAAAATTAGCCTGGCCTGATGGCACAGGCCTGTAGTCCCCACTACTCAGGAGGCTGAGGCAGGATCACTTGAGCCCTTGATTGCTTGAGCCCGGGAGTTTAAGGTTGCAGTGAGGTATGATGATGACACTGCACTCTAGCCCAGGTGACAGAGTGTGATCCTGTCTCAAAAAAAAAAAAAAAAAAAAAAAAAACTACTGGCACACAGAGCAACATGGATAAGTTTCAAAATAATTGTGCTGAGTAAAAGACAGCCAGACAAAAGAGTACATGTATGATTCCATTTGTAGCAAACGCTAGAAAATGTAAACTGATCTCTAATGACAGAAAACAGATCATTAGTTGCTTGGGGATAGGGAAGTAGGAAGGAGCAGGAGGGATCACCAAGGGACACAAGGAAACTTTGGGGGTCATGGAAATGTTCACTGTCTTGATTGTGATCATGATTTCAGGTGTATACACATGTCTAAAGTTATCAAATTGTACCCTATATATGTGCAGTTTATTATATGCCACTACATTAATAAAGCTGCTTAAAATATTTTAAAGTTACTAGGCGCGGTGGCTCATGCCTGTAATCCTAGCGCTCTGGGAGGCTGAGGTGGGTGGATTGCTCAAGGTCAGGAGTTTGAAACCAGCCTGAGCAAGACCGAGACCCTGTCTCTACTATAAATAGAAAGAAATTAACTGGCCAACTAATATATATAGAAATAAATTAGCCAGGCATGGTGGTGCGCGCCTGTAGTTCCAGCTACTAGGAAGGCTGAGGCAGGAGGATTGCCTGAGCCCAGGAGTTTGAGGTTGCCATGAGCTAGGCTGACGCCACGGCACTCACTCTAACCTGGGCAACAAAGCGAGACTCTGTCTCCAAAAAAAAGTTACTATCATGACACAAAGATATGGGTGAAAAGGGAGTTATGGGCGGGGCCGGGTTGAGAACAGCAGCATCAGGTGGATGCGGAAGGGAAAACGCCCATGTTCCCTTCTTCAGGCCCGCGTGCCATGCAATTTATGCAGTGGCCACTAGAGGGCAGAAGTGACCCATGTCCAGGAAGTGGGGGTTGCAGGGCTTGAATACTTAGACTTCCCTGCTCTGTGCTCCCTAGCCTGGGAATGGGACTTAATACCCCCATTACACTCAGTTACAGCTGGAGTTCTAGCTGTGGTCTCTCTGGCTCCCGATTCCATCTTGTTGGACCTCCCTGCACCCCCAGATCTCTTTTTTTTTTTTTGACTCCCCCCCAGATCTCTTTAAAAGGGTGTCCTGACTCCATTGAGACGGCAGCCACAGCTCTGGGTCTGGTGTCGCAGGGCTGCTATGGAGGAGTTAGAGATGGCACCAAAGAGCTGTGATTCTCGGGGTGCCTTTGGAAGGCCTCCCACCTCGCCTGAAATCCACAGTTGTAAAGCAGGGGGGCAAGGTTCCATTATCAGACACTGCAACATCACAGGCTTGGTTAACCAGGTTAGCGTGTCACTGAGAAAAGGAGACACTGAAAGGTCATTTTTATAAGAGAGAGAGAAGGGAGAGAAAGTTTAATGGGGGGTGGGAGGGAGATGATGGTGGAGCCCCCATGGGGTGCTGCAATGGAAGCCTCCCGATAAAAGCAACAGCTGACACATATTGAGTGTGTGCAGCACGACGCCGAACGCTGCGTGCAGCGAATCAGCTCATCTTCAAAGCACTCTTGCTAAACAAGCTGCAGAGAGGTTAAGCAATTTGCACAAAGTCACAGTGCTGGTGGGAGGCAGCGCGAGGATTTGAATCTAGGTTTGACACCAACATGTGGGCTTAGCTACCCACTTCAGATGGAGCTGTCTTTCCCTATTACTTCGTTCAAGCATGAAGCAGGTTGGTGGTGGTAGCAGATGGTGGGTTTTTAGTTTAACCTTCTGGGGAAAGCTTGTCGTGCTTCAAGAGAATGTTAAGCACCTGTGCTGGGCCAGAAGGAGGGTTCCCCTCCCCACCCCTCACCCCTTTATGTAGAGCAGTTATTAATACAATGTGTGAGGTATCGTGCGCAGGCTGATACTCTTACAGTGATGGTATTTGAAGGGCAGGTGGGCAGAGGCCAGCAACAGGTAATTGGGGGGGCTGGTGACATGGAGCGACCCAGTGACATTGTTCTTCTGCACTCACAGGAGTCTGTCACAAGCCGCACAACTCAACTGGAGTCCTGAGCAGGTGACCAGATCAGGATGCTGGCCTGGGAGACTCCCCAGAAATCCCCAGGTATCGGAACAAGGTCAAGGCGTTTTGCGAGCAGGTAACTCAGCCTTGGTGTGTGTGGGGGTGAAGTCCCCCAGCAGTTTCTCTCTTCTCCCTTGGCTGAGATCATACAGTTTGATCCTCCAGGCAAAGTGCCTCGGGGATGTGGCCCCTTCAGTTCTGGGTTCTGCGGAAGACAGCAGCTCTGGGCTTGCACCCATCACGACTCTTCCACCTGTTTCATGCTCTTGTGAACACGTGGTGGGGCTGATGCAGGCTCCCAGCAAGAATGAGGATGTAGCCAAAGGAGGCCAGAGCTAAACAGGCCTCACAGGCCCTCTGAGTTCCGCCATCAATTCACAGATGCAAAAACTCAGATCCGGGCAAGGGAAGGGACTCGGCCAAGGCCACACACGTGGGGAGGTGATGGCTGAGTTGGGGTGAGCACTCCCAGCACTGTCTGTTTGCCCCATACTCTGCAGCCTTCTCTAATGATGGGCCTCGTTGCGGGGTTCTTCCTTATCAGCGATGGTCATACATTCTCTCTCTCTTTCTAAAAACATTTATTCTTTAATTTCATCACATATTCAGTGTTCACATTTTCAATTGCTTTATGTCAAAAAGCATTTTCTAACAGTTTGATTAAATCAAGATCCCAATAAGATGCGCACATTGTGATTAGTTGATGTCTCTTAAGCATCTTTTAATCCATAGGTTCCTCTTTGATCTTTCTCTTTTCTCTTGCAGTTTATTATTGAATGAGCCACATCATGTATCCTGCAGATTATCCAGAATCTGGATCTTGATTACAAACCCATGATACAGTTTAACACATTTCTCTGTCTTCTGAGTTTCCTGTAAATTGATAGTTGAATGTAGAAGCCTGATCAGATTAAGAGTTTTTGGCAAAAGTCGTTCATAATAGGTACTGTGTGTTTCCACAGGAGGTACATAATGTCTAGCATCTTCCTTTTTGTGACATTAGCATCTGCTGATGTCCAATGCCTGGACCCGCTAATGCACCGGGGGTTAGAACAGTGGTACTCAAACTCTGCCGTTCTGTCTTCACTTATTAGCTGGGTTATTCTATAAAGGGAAACTTGCCCTCATCAACTATCCAGTTATCTGGGGTAGTATCTCATCACTTCCGGGTATACAGGACCATCCCCACCTCCACGAGAAGACAGAGGTCGGAGGGGCTAAAGGAACTGTCGCCAGCAGAAGAACTGGCCGGCTGGCCCCAGTCAACCCACGGAATCATAATAAACGAATAAAAAGTGGTTGTTTTCAGGCCCTAAATCAGGCAGCAGCCCATGAGTAGCAAAGCCCTTTTCTCTCTTCGCAGGAGGGCGGAGCCGGCAGAATCTTCAACAGCATCCAGGTCAGCTCTGTCACGTGCAGATGACACAGCCCAGGACCAGGAGGTGTGGGGACTCATGCAGGCTTGCACATACAAACCAAGCTACAGGCATATCCTTAAAGCAAACTCCCGAAAATTCCATGTGAGCAGTTCCACATGCTGGTCTGACGTCCTCGGTGGCTGCCTGTGTTTGAGGTACCAGGGCCGCCGTTCGGAGTAAATGAGTGGAGGTGCTGTAGTTTGTGTACGGCAGGAACCGGCTGCTCCTGGACCGCTCCACTGGGGCAGCTGCCGTAGGCATCGGTCCTGCTGCAGATGTCTGGGGAGCAGCCAGGCTGGCAGGCCCAGGCAGCAGCCAAGGGTCTGGGGACGAGGGGGAGGGGCCGGGAGGCAGGCTGCAGGGCCTGGCCTCCACCCTGGCAGGAGGCAAGCCCAGTGCCACAAAATCCTGCTGGGTGGGCAGGTGGCATGGGTGGAGGGGAGGACCAGCAGGTGGCAGGGTCCAGCCACCGAGTGGGGCAGGAAAGAACTCCAGTCACAGGACGGAGCAAGCCAGGGCCCTCATCTTCACACTGGACGGGTGACCAAGGCAGGAACTGGGGCCCAAGGATCAAGTCAGAAGCTGCGTTGTTAGGTAGGATCGAGTTGGGTTAAGAAGAATGGAAACCTCCAAGTATCATTGACTCAAACAGGCACCGCACACCAGTGTATCTCCCGCTCCGGAGGGAGTTGGGCGGCGACCTCAATTTTGGCTAACAGGACAGGAACTGATTCACCAGTGGTGTGAAGTCCTCTTCCCTGGAATTTGGTGCCATGCCATTTGGCTCCCTGGGCTGCTAAAGTGCCTCTGAGTAAGGGATCGATTAAGGGGTGAGGGAAGGAAGAATCGATCTCTTCCAGGATTGGAGAGCCCGCCCTGGCTGACGCGCAGTGCTGCCTTGGTTGTGTGCCAGAGGATGGGACGGGGAGTTTCCTTAGCCGGGACCACCAGCGAATTAATCTCCTGTCGTGGACGTCCCGGGAAAACTGACTCGAGAGGGAAGGAAGGGAGGTCCGAAGCACTGGAGGCTGGGGAAATGTAATCAAGATGTAACTTTTTGATCGAGCAAAGCAAAGTCAGGGTCCTGACAAGTGACCCGAAGTTTAAAAACATCAAGACTCCACTAGTGGTTCTCATGGGTGGCTGGGGGATGACAAAATCACGTGTGCATTAAGAAATAGGCCCTGTCCCCACATCGGGGCCCTGTCCGTAAGTGTGAGTAATGCGAACAGGAACAGTGTCCTGGGCCACAGTACTACGGTGAGCGGAAATGGCCCCAGAGGGTACGGGTCGTGAGGGCTTGGGGGAAGGTGGGATCTGTTCGATTTTTGTAACCATCTGAGTGTGGGTGTGGGTGCCCCAAATATGTGAGGCAGTCAGTTGAAAGTCGCTCAATAGTAGGACAGAGATTTCCCCACGTTGCCCACATCGTTGCCTGGCTAACGCCCCAAGTCTTAGTGGACAGGCATGCCCAGCGGGTTTGGTTTGACAGGGCAAAAGGTGTCTTGCTTATGGGTAAACACTTTATTTTTATTTATTTTTTTGTACAGTGTTTATTGTCCCTTTTGTTTTCCTCCCACCATTGTAAGCTCACGATGTCCCAGCGAGATTGGAAGAAACCATGCTGTGGCGTCAGACAGTGAGCAGCCCTCCGTGATGCTTTTGGCACTTTAACCTTTTCTGTACTTGTTACAAGGTATTAATATAATGGTCATTGTAGAACATCTAGAAAATACAGACAAGCAAAAAGAAAAAAAAATCAGAATCTCTCATAGTCCCACCCTACAGGGACGACCACTGTCAATGTTTTGGCATATGTTGTCACACAAGTAAGCCTGTGTGTGCGTGTGTGAGTGTAGAAATTGACCCAAAAAGAGTCACATAGTACACATGGTTAGAGAATCTGCATTTTTATCACTTCTTAATATATACTGACCACCTTTCTGTGTCACCGAATAGTCTTCTCTTCTCCAGACCTGTGTGCTCAGCCCTGAGTCCCCCAGCCCCACCCTCACCCGACCATTCCCCCCCATGTGTCCCCTCCCAGTGACAGCCAGAACCTGGGCACCAGCCCCCAGGCCTGGGGTCTCTGGAATCTCCCACCCCTCCCCAGCGCCTCTCTCCTCGCCTTGGTTCACCTTCATCATTACCTTTGTAAAAAATTGAGATCAAATTCACACAACATGAAATTAACCACTTTAAAGTGGTTAATGTATTGGCAATTAGTACATTCACAATGTTGTACAGCCACCATTTCTGCCTAGTTCCAGAACGTTCCATCACTCCAAAAGGAAACCTCATACCTATTAAGCAGTTGCTCCCCAGCCCCTGGCAACCACCAATCTATGTTCCGTCTCCATGGATATTTCATATAAATGGAAAAATTTGAAAGAAACGTTGTTTTCTTTTTTATCTGGGGAAATGTAAGTGCCAGACTGACTGTGTGCCTCCCCTCTGACTTGGATAAAGTCCTAAGTGTCCTGGTGCCCCGCCACCTTTTTAGGTTCCTCTTCTGACACTCTGCCCCACCGCCTCCTGCAAATAGAGTCACCTGCAAATAGAGTTGTGCACTCCTCTGAGCCATTGCAAATGCTGTTCCTCTGTGGGGTTGCCCTTCCTGCCCATCTCGCCTGACCTGTCCTAGTTACCTTTTCCAACTCAGCTCTCCCTGTCACTGTGCCCCCAGCGTGTCACACATGCTCGAAGGTGGCCAGGATCACCGTGTCCAGGACAGTGGGAAAGGGAAGCTGCCCTGTGTGGGACTCTGTGAGGTTCTACTGTTGACCACAGGCAGCCCTGGTTTTACCTCTCACTTCTCTGCAGTCTCAGATACTCCCCACAGTGTCTGAGCTAAACAGGGAACCACCAACTCACCCGCGCCCTGTCATTAGGAGTTGGCATCTTGCTACGTCCCCCTGTTGTGACGGCTGGCAGTGAGGCTGGTGCACAAATGGGCAACCCAGAAGGATCTTTCTCTTCCTTTTTCCTTCCTCCAGCCTCGTTCTTTCTACTCGGGAAGCCAGATGCTCTAGCGTTTAATTACATGCTGCAGTTGGAAGCACAGAATGTCAGAGCTGGAAAGGAAGCACCTTATTATAAATAATAGCTCCTAGCATTTCTTGAGCACTTACTCTGTGCCAGGCACTGTGCCAGGCTCGTTTCCAGGCATTACCTCATTTAACCTTCCCAACAATTCTAGGAGGCAGGTGCCATCATCATCCCCGTTCTGCAGGGAAGGAAACTGAGGCTTAGAGAGGCCACAGAGCATTTCCCAAACTGTGCTGAGTGGTACATAGTGGCACAGAATATTAGTTGGTGTTCACAAAAATGTTTCCCATTGTCAAATGCTGCATCCTGCACCCCTCTGGGAAATTCCCAATGCACACCTATATACTAAAGGTCCTGAGAAGTCCTGTAGCAAAGGAACCTGTTGAGGTCAGCATCTCTCCTGTCACTTCACAAAACTACTGATCCAGAGAGCTCAGTTCGGGGAATGCAGATATTGACCAACCTCCTCATTTTAAACATGAGGACTCCAAGGCCTGGGCAATACTTTAGGGGCAGATCGGGCACAGCGCTTGGGCCTATGCTCTCTGCCGCCCACAGGAAGCCTAGAGCAGAGGAAGGCAGATGGTGGCCCATCAGGCCGCTACCTGATTTTGTAAATAACATTGTGTTGAGGCTTTTCTGATCAAGCTCCCTTGGTTAATGGATGTGTCAATTGGAGCCCAGAGAGGATGGTTGACGTGTCCAAAGTCACACAGCCCATTAGGGGTAGAGGCAGGAATAGATCCCAGGTCCCCAAATCCAGGTACTCTTTTGGGGGGTGAAGCTCCACGAAACCTACAACCCCTGTGACACCTCTTCACTGTGCAGTGGCTACACAGGCGCTGTCCCCTCTCTGCTGCCAGAGACCCCTCCCCACCACACATTTCCTAAAGCCACCCTGGCCTGGACTGCCTGGGGGCTTCCCTCTGTCTCCCTGGCAGGTAAACCGAGCAGGGGCCAACCCCGAAGTCTCGTAGGGGACAAAGGTTGAACGGAGCAATCTGGGCTTATTTTAATTCTGTACCAGATGCACTAAAATGTCATTAACTTCCCCACCACCAGTTCAAAATGTGAGATCATTTGGACCAGAACTGGGCACATGGGCAGAGGGCGACCTTTGCCCGTTCCAGGAAGAGTTTGCCAAACCAATGAATAGTGTAAACAGGGAGCTAGGAGGGTTGTTTGAAACCACTTCAGAAAATAAATGATGTTCAAGGGCTCTCGGGCCTCCCGGAAGTGCACTGTCACACAATTTACATTTTTCTGAGAGGGGGACAGTTGGATATGCAAATAAAATCATTCTTATCTCTTCATTAAAATGACTCATGCAAAGAATACTTTATGAACCCTGTTTAAAATGTGAGCCATTTAAAATATCTCCAGATTTAGGCATTTTCGGTCCGCTAGGTCTCTCCAGCAAGTGGCACTAATGAGAGCGGTTAATTAACCTCAGGATCTGGAGGAGGGGCTTCCGAGTGACTCCGGTGGCCACACACGCCAGAGAGCTAAAGGTTCATCTGGAGACAGTTGCGGGGACAGCAGGGCATAAAGCCTCTGGGTGGTGGCTCTTCCTGGGGCAGCCAGACTGCCCAGATGGCCCTTCCAGAGCCGGGAGTTGCAGACTTGTCCCTGAGGTGGAGGGTAAAAATAGTCACTTACGGGTGGCAGCTGGGCCCAGAGGCACTGGCTTCCCTGTCCCTGGAGCAGGCGGGAGCAGCAGTTGACAGGCTCCTCCTCAGGGCCCAGGGACCCCTCCCAAGCCCCGGGGGCTGGAGGGTCTTTCCCTAACAAGGAAGCACCCCCTTCCCTCCCCAAATGTGGTAGAGTTTGACCTTAGTGACAAAACAGCTGAGGACTTAAATCCTGGCTGTGCTCTGCAACCTGGGGCAAGATGTGTCTGTCCTCTCCTTTCTGAGCCTCTCTTTTCTCCTCTGTCAAATGGGGCTAATGATTTCTTTCTACAAGGCTTGCTGTGAAGATTAAATGACAATGACAGGCCAGGCATGGTGGCTCACAGCTGTAATCCTAGTACTCTAGGCTGGCAGATTACTTGAAGTCAGGAGTTCAAAACCAGCCTGAGCAAGAGCGAGACCCCGTCTCTACTATAAATAGAAAGAAATTAATTGGCCAACTGATATATATAGAAAAAGTTAGCCAGGCATGGTGGCGCATGCCTGTAGTCCCAGCTACTCGGGAGGCTGAGGCAGGAGGATTGCTTGAGCCCAGGAGTTTGAGGTTGCTGTGAGCTAGGCTGACGCCACGGCACTCACTCTAGCCTGGGCAACAAAGTGAGACTCTGTCTCAAAAAAAAAAAAAAAATGACAATGACAGTTAACAGGTTTGACTCCAGAACCTCCAGAACCTTCCGTCCTTTCTTCCACCAGTCGCTCACCTTCTGGCACCTTCTCTGACAGTGGCTTGGAGGCAGCTGCTGTCATGAGGACATTGAAGTAGCCCTGTGGACAGGTAGGTCCGATGGCAAGGAACCGAGGTGCCCCCCTGCCGATAGCCAAGGAGGAACTGAGGCGTCCTGCCAAAGGCTGCATGAGGGAGTCGCCTTGGAAGTGGCCGCAGCGTCCCGTCAGGCCTTCAGACGCTGTGGCCCTGCCAACACCTCCACGGCAGCCTCAGGAGAGCCCCAGAGCCACAGCCCCCAGCTGGCTCCTTCTGGATTCCAGCCCTCAGAAACCGCGTGGGATTATAAAGGTCTACTCAGTGCGGGGCTATGTGCGATGCAGCGATAAATAACGAATACTTGCCTTCTAGCGTCATTGTAAGAATGAAGAATTAATACACATCAAACTGCAACCAAACTTGCTGGGCGCTGGGCAGGGCGTGGCGGCTGGCGGGGTCCATGTGAAGGAGAGTGACAGACCGAATAGGCAAGCGGACAATGGACATGTATCAACACACAACTCTGACCCCAAACCTGCAGCAACAGCCCAGGAAGCCAAAAACAACCCCGTAGCAGTCGGCCCCGAATGGCCAGGAGTTGATCATAACTGACAGCTTCCCTAATTTTGTCCCCATTCCAATGTAGGACAAACTGGAGAAAGCCAAATATGCTCCCCTAACCAATCATGTGGGTCGCCGTTCTTCTGGTCAGCCCACCTAGAGCACCCCCGGGCCTGCGGCCTCAGCCAGCGCTGACCTGACCCCCCCCTCCACTATGAAGCTTTTGCCCACTCCTCTGCCTGCCTGTGAGTCTCTGCGAAACACAAGTGACAATGGCTGACCGCCTTGCTGTAGCAATCTCTGAGTAAATGCCTTCACCTGCATTTACTGCCATCCGGGCGGTCTTTGCTTATTTCCATGTTCTCTCTCTCTCCCTTCCTGCTCCCAGGTCAAAGACAACATATTCTTCTCCCCCCTCCCACCCCAGGTATCCAAAGAAACCAACTCAGGGAGGATGGAAGTGGAGGGGACAGGAATAATTAAGGGCGTAATTTTGGAACAGGACAGATCTGCGCTCAAATTCTGCCTCTGATGCTTAACTTGCTGTATGGTCTTGAGTGACTCACTTAAACACTGCGAGCCTGTTTCCTCGTGTCAAGGGGACAGTCCGGCTGAACCCCAAGGGCTGGTGCGAGCGTTCAGTGAGGTAATGCATTTAAGGCACGGAGCACGCAATAGATGCTCAGCAAAGCAAAGGCCTGGCATCCAATCCGCCTGGCAGAGCCTGCTGCCGCGGGCAGGCCCCTGTCCTGCCCTCTTATTCACTCCCACCCCTTCCCTTTGCAGCGGGCAGCCTGACTCTGCAGCCAATGGAGTCAAGTCTTGGGCTCCAAGCCCAAGGTTCATCAAAGGTCAGGGGTTGGTCTCAGGAGAAGGATGGGCAAAGAACACACCTGGGCATTTCTCTAAAGAAATCCGACTGGCCCAAAGCAGAAGACAAAATGTTCAGACCAGCTACCTGCTGCCTCCCGGTTCTATCCTGGCTCTGAGGGGAGGTCAGAGCAGGGACGCTCCTGCACAGAAAATGAGTGCCCTTGTGCCAGGCCAGCTTTCCCAAGACTGAGGAAGATGAGCCAGGTTGTTTCCCAATCTCGGTGCGTGCGTGCGTGCGTGTGTGTGTGTGTGTGTGTGCATACATCTCTGCCTGTGTCTATTCCATCTTTGAAATGAGAATTTTTATAGCTCACCAGGACACACACATGAATTCGTGTTCTGATATTGAATACATGTGTGTGTGTGATGATGTCTTAGTCTGTTTTGTGCCACTATAACAGAATACCTGAAAGCGGGTAATTTATAAATAATAGAAATTTATTTCTCACGGTCCTGGGGGCTGGGAAGTCCAAGATGGAGCAGCCAGCACCTGGTGGGGCCTTCTTTCTGCATCGTGACGTGGCAGACGGCATCACGCGGCAGAAAGGCAAGAGAGAGAGGGAGAGAGCAAGAAGGGGCCAAACTTGCCCTTTCATAAGGAACCCACTCCCAAGACAATGGCATCGATCCACTGACAGGCAGTGCCCCTCCCTGAACACCTCCCATTAGGCCCCACCCTCCAACACCACCACATTGGACACCAAGTTTCCAACATACGAACTTTGGGGGACACATTCAAATCACAGCAGGGGACAGGAGCTCCGAGATGCCCATGTGCTGGGGGCATCCTGAATCCCCTCATGCCAATGTTCCAGGCCTTTCCATGTCACTTCTCTGTGACCTTCTCTACACCTTCTCTACCACCACTGAATTCAAGTCTCCAGCCACCACTTCTTGCTGGAGGCAGAGACTAAGTGTTTTCCTTACTTTTTGCAACCAGCAGAGAATGAAAATTAACACAGGGGTGAGAAACCCCACCGGAAAACTCAGGCAAAGATTTTTAAAATAATGACAATAACTAGGATGAGGGTGGCACCCTCCCTCCCCACAGGGCAGGAGCATAAACTGGTGCATTTCTGGAGGCGATTTAGTAGGATGTACTCTGTGATTCTGCAGGTCCATTTTTCAAAATACAATCTAAATAAAAATCACAGTTTCTGAACAAAGACTTCATTAGAAGGCTCTTTATGCTGTTTATGGTAATATTGTTCTGGTGCAAAAAAAAAAAAAAAAGAAGAAATGATTTAGGTTTCCAAAACCAAGAACCTTAGTTAAATAACACCATCGCTTCACCAAGAAAGATGTAGCTTAGTAGTTTGAGATCATGTTAGAAATGGACATTCTGGGCCCCTCCCCCCACCCCGCACCTACTGATTCAGAAACTCTGGGTGGGGCCCAGAAATTTGGGTTTTAACAAACCACAGATGCAGACGGCTGTCACTGGGAAAGACACACTTTTAACTGACAAAAGGTTACAAAACGGCATGTACAAAACACCAGACATGAACAGTGCATCCTCATTTCTAATATTAATATGTAAATAGAGAGTCGCACAAAGAGAAAAAGGCCTGGAAGAGTTTGTTCCAAGGTGGTAACATCCACTCTCTGGGTGGTAGGATTATGAGGTTGTAGATTTTTTTTTTTCATTTTTCTAATCCATATTTTCTAACTAGCTACAATCACCATGTTTTCATAAAAACTAAAGGGGAAAATCAATAATTTATTTTTTAATTAAATAGATAAACAATAGGGCCAGGTTGCAGGTGGGGTGTAGGGAAGGAGCAGACAGCCAGCCGCTGGCCCAGGAAAAGCTGGGAGGCAGGACTGGGCCGGGAGACCCAGGGCCACCGCCCAGTGGAGCGGCCAAAGCAGCCACCCCTCCGGTGGCTAGGAAGGTTTACTAGGGCTCAAATGCAGGGCAGAGCAGAGATTTACCGCAGACTTCTGCAAGAACTGGACTGCTAAGAGCACCAAATCCTGGAATGGGCACCTTTGGGAGATTTTCTAGCCCAGAGCAGAGAGCGGATGCGGGGGAGGGGGTCAGGAGCTTCCCCGGCTAGAGGACGCGGGTTGGCCCCAGTCTCCGGACCCCTCGGCCCTGGGACCCCGGGGAGGCTGCGCTGCCGCCGGGACTCCCGCCCCCTGGGGCGCCGCGGGGCCGGCGGGGCGGGGCCGGGCGGTTGCTAGGGGAGGGGCGCGGGGCGGGCGAGGAACTCAGCTGCGACTGCGACGCGCGCCCCGCTCTCCCGCTGCAGCTCCCGCGCCTCCTGTTGCTCCTCTGGACCGCCGCTTCCCGCCGGGCGCCCAGGGTAGGCGTCCCCAGAGTGCCAGCTCCCGGGCAGTCTCCCGCCTTCCTCCTCTTCCCGCGCTCGAGTCTCTCGGACGGCCCGGAACGTCCCCAAGAGCGCGGACGCCCGCGAGCTCCAGTGCGCCGCGGAGTGCGCGCCGAGACCCTGGGCGCCGCGCCGCGATGAACGCGACCTTCCTGAACCACAGCGGCCTGGGGGAGGTGGAAGGCGTGGGCGGCAGCGCCGGGGCCGCCTTGGGGAACCGCAGCCACGGGCTGGGCACGTGGCTGGGCTGCTGCCCCGGGGGCGCACCGTTGGCTGCCAGCGACGGGATCCCCGCGGGGCTGGCGCCCGACGAGCGCAGCCTGTGGGTGTCGCGCGTGGCGCAGATCGCCGTGCTCTGCGTGCTGTCGCTCACCGTGGTCTTCGGCGTTTTCTTCCTGGGCTGTAACCTGCTCATCAAGTCAGAGAGCATGATCAACTTTCTGGTGCAGGAGCGTCGGCCCTCTAAGGACGTAGGCGCCGCCATCCTGGGGCTGTACTGAACGCCACCCCGGCCCGGCCCCTCCAGCGCCGCTGCAGCAAGGAGAAGGACCCGAGAGACCAGGACTCGTCCCCCGCTGTGGGCTCTGCCGCCGCCTCCGGGCGGGCAGCTCATGGGGCAGCGACGTGCCTCTGGGCGCCCGGGCCCGGGGACGCAGCGGGACTCGCGGCGACGGCGCGGGAAGGGACTTCCACGCCCGGCTCGGTCCTGTGTGCGCTTCAGCGTTGGAGGGTGGGAGGTTGGGGGATGGGGGTTCTTAACTAGATTTATTATAAAAACAAAAAGTTCGGGGCAGTGGGAGTGAGTGCGAGGCAATTTGGGGCTGAGGTCGGTAGCGTGGGAGTTGTGTGTGTCTGTGGGTGGGGCGGCGTGCGGGCGGGTTCCCAGCAGGGTGCGGGGAGTGTGGTTGACGATCTGGAGAATCCGAGTCGCTCCTCTTGTTTGGCCTGATTTTGCAATTGAAAAGAAATCTTGCAATAAAACTGCAACCGGAGGGCTTCGGGAGACTTTGCACCCCCGCGCGCGCCTGTGTGTGTGTGTGTGTGTGTGTGTGTGTGTGTGTGTGTACGCGCGCACGCGGGCGTGTTAGCGTGTGTGTTGGCGGGGGAGGAGGGAGGAGTGGCGTGTACCCTAGTGGCGGGCACTTTGAGCCCGTCGGGAACCATCGGGAAGAAACCAGCCCCCGCGTAGGACGCTGGCTGGGGAGCCGTCTGGCAGGTCGGGACTCCGGGGGCTGAGCGCCAAGGCCAGAGCGCAGAAATGGAAAAGGAACTGTTGTCTACGCCGCCGACAGCGGAGGAGGCAGGTCCTGTGGGGCAGCCAGACAGCTAGTGAGATTAATTAAACCACTGGAAATTTGACTCTTCTGTGAGATGAAACAAAATCAGCGAGTTGAGTCCGAAAGGGGGAAAACAGTACAATTAGATCAGGATAGTGAACAAGCAAAATTCAATTTGGCAGAGGGGATAAAGCTAGATCCAGTTAAAAATCTAATTATGAGGCCAAAAGCCCCATGCAAGGGCTCGTTTGGAGCCCACCCTCACACAGGGCAGGCGAGTAGACTGGGAAGAAACCCCTTTGTTGCATTGGGGAGCGCGGGCGGTTCTCTGTGTGAGGACAACTCAGGACACGGAAAAGGGAGAAAATGGCCTCCAAATGCAGTTGTCTTCAGGGGTCTTGGAACCTCCCCTTAGGAGATGCTCCCAGCCGCCCAGAAACCAGGCTGCCTGCAGGTATGAACGTCCCTTAGAGCAGTGTGAAGCAGGAAGAACCTTGGCACTCACGGGTCAAAGGGGAGGGGGTTGTTCTGCTGTCTCCAGCGTCTGGTCTGCCGCAGCGCTGGAGCTGGGGGCGCCCAGGGAGAGAAGGCTGGGCTTTCTGGCCTCTGCCTCCACCCCTAGCCCGTAGTGCCAAAGCCACCCAGGCACCTGGTACTTGGAAGACTGGGGGAGGGCATGCTAATAGATTGCTTCCTCTCTTCTCTCTCTTGCCATGGGTGGAAGCCAGGGAGAATGAGGAAGAAGATGGCTGAGTCCTTAGCTGGCTTTGGGAACAGAAGCAAAGCCAACGCTGTCTCCTGTCTTTGGCACTAGTTCCATTAGGGAGGGGTTGGCAGGGGGCGTATCTCAAAAGCACAGATGGTCACCGACTATGAAGGATCTGGAGTCTTCCTGGCTCCTGAGCTCTCCTGTGTAGTCACAATCATCATTATCAGGATGAGTCCCCTTCCTGCCTACCCCACTGTCCCCATCTCAGACTTGGGAGGATTTATTCAGTTGGACGGGCCTGGCCAGTGAGGTCAGAGGCCAGAGACTCCTTGTAAAGTGTCTATGGGGCAAAACCCCCAACGTGGAGAATGTCCTATTGATGGTCTGGTGTGACTTGCAGCCTGGTGTGGGGACAGCAGCCCTTAATGCTTCAGGCACCCCGGATATCTGGCACCCCGTACATCTGTGTACGGAGGTAGCACAGGTGTCTGCAGCCTGGGCTGCTCACGCAGCAAAACCCCAAAGGACCGGAAACGGGTTTCAGAAGGAGCACAGACTTTGACACTTTTCTGCCTGGTCAAGTTAGAACAAACATCCAAGAACTTTCCTCTAATAAAATACATCTGCTACAAAATGTGACTGAGGCGACAGGAGGGTAATTCAAGAGTTAATTTCCTGAATTTGCTGAAAAAGCAAAGCCTTAGTGGGGAAGCTTTGCATGATTTCCTCACTATTTAGGAACAGTGGGGGGGGGGCAGTGAAGACATGTCTGTGTGCTCACAGGCGGGTACTCACCAAGCCTTGGTGTACGAGACTGCACACGGGCACGTGGGCGTGAGGGTGTGCCCACGCATGCAGGCTCAGGCCTCAGGGAGGAAAACAGCAAGTGGGAGTGGGGTTCTGGGAAGGGGTGAGGGTGAAAGACCACATCTGTAACCCGTCTTAGTTCTCCCCAAGCCCTACAGGCCTATAGGGTGTTTACTGAGCTGCCTTATATAAACCCCGGGCAAGGGGGCAGGGACACTGAGTTATGTAAGATAGGAGCAAATGGGAACACTGCTCCAAGGAAGGGCCAGACTGGATCAGAATCCGGAGCCACCAGGGTGGAGCACGAAGAAGTGGCCTGGTTCTCAAAAGCCCACCTCCCACCACATCCTGGGTATCGGGAGCTCTTCCCAGGATTCACTGGCCAAATCCCAGAGGGCCTTGGGTTCACAAGAGAGAAGGCCTGGGATCCTGGTCTTTGAAATCCTGGCTGCCCTGCTGCCAGCTCTGTGACTTTGGGGAAGTAGCACAACCTCTCTGTGCCTCAGTTTCCTCATTTACAAAATGGGAGTAATAGGACCCAGAGCTCCCATGACATGAGGTGTGTAAAATAGCCAGCACAGGGCAATAGAAACGATTATGGTTATTGTTAGTTTTGTTTATTGTATGAACTCTTTCCCAGTGTAATTGGTTCTCTGATATGAGATCCCCGGACAAAAAAACAGTAACTCATATTTGCAAAGCATTTGCAGTTTTCGGAGCATTTTCTCGAGCATGATGAAAACAGTGTCAAATGCCTAACGTAACAAGCCCTGAGTTACCACTCCCATGAAGAAGGTTTCGTTACTACTCCCAGTTTACAGATGAGGAAACCGAGGCTCAATGAGGTTGCCCAAGGTGACGCAGCTAGGAAGGGGCAGAGCAGGATCCAAGTCCAGCCTGTGTGGCTGCTGTCTTCACTCTACACGATCTCTTTGCTCCCACAACGCCTCGGTGAGCAAGAGGAGCAGATGTTCTCCTAGTGTCCTGTTTCAAGGAGAGAAAACCAGAAAAGTCCAGTTGACTGGACTTGCATGCTACCAGTGCCTATTGCAAACCCCCGTGGGCTGGGCCCTGTGCCAGGCGCCGGGGGGCAAGGGGATGGCAGAGCTGGAGTCCAGCCCCGGCCTGTAGTCCCAGAGGTCCTGCACTTTGCTCCCCAGGGCCACTAGCCCTGGGGTCAGGGTAGCCGGTTCCATGTATCTCAGAGGCTAGGTCAAACCCCCACATCCTGTCCTCTGAGCCGGGGATGGTATTCTGGGGGTCAGATGTGCCCTTACTGGCAAGATTCCCCTGGGACAGGGGACAGGAGGAGGAGGACATCACCATGTCCACTTATTTTCCCACTTGCTTGTCCAAGCCTTGCACACACACAGGGGTGCACCGCTGTGGCTGCTGGGAGTCGCCCTCCCCAGACACCCACTCAGCAGCGGATTGAAAGCAGCCTCGAGCATTACCGGTGGTTTCAGAGGGAAAGAATGAAACGTGAAAAGTGGCGGGTACAGACAAAAATGGTCCACATCCAGTGTTCCACTTTCGGGGAAAAAAGCAGACGTGTGCATGTGCGTGCACACACCCAAGCATTTAAAGGACTTTGGCGGGGTTTCTGGGTAGCATCCCTTGAGTGCAACTCACGACCCTCTTGTTTAAAGGGCACACCAGGCACATGCAGTGTCCAGAACACCCAACCCCAGCTCGGCAGGTGGGGCAGGTGTCCAGGCATCCGAGAGGCAGCGAGGGGAGTGTCCCCAGGCAGCATCTACTCCCCCTTGCGGTAGTTGCTCTGTTCCCTACACGCGAGATTCTGTGACAGGTGCACTCCAGTCCACGGATAGGGAGAGTTTAATCCATGGGGAACATTAGATTTCAGCAATTTTCAGCAACAAAAAAGCAACAGAGTCAGCAAACCGGCTCTTATAAGATTGTCTTCTGGTCATGTGTTTAGGTAACGGGCCCACGGTTATATGCTCAGCTCATGGCAGAGGTGACATCAAACCAGTCTTACCAAGGCGCCAGCCAGTGCCAGGATTTATTAGGCGTGTCCTATATGACTCTCCCGGTGCTGGGTGCTCAGGAGGTTGTTAAGATGAAGGCAACTCGGTCTCTGCCCTCAAGATGCTAATAACATGAGTTGGGAGACAATCGTCCCCACGGGAGATTTAGTGGTGATATTCTCTGTGCCTCAGCTATTTCTTTTAGGGTGGCCAGCACCAGCTGTGGGGTATGGGGTTTGGTGGGGCCTTGCAGGCCGGCTGCCAACCTGGGTTTCCTCTGGGGCTTGTTTTGCAGGGAAAGGCCTGGGCAGAAAGCCCAGGACATGGAACCTGGATGTTGACAGTGATGCAGCCAGATGGGCAGAGGCCAACATCTGTCACCGATAGTCACACTGCACAGACTGCTGGTTCCCTGCTGAGCTGGGCCAGGCTGTGGGAGGCTGACAGACACGGGCTCTGTCTTGTGCTCCAAAGCTGAAGTTCAGCAAGGGCTCCAGAGACCCCGCGTGCAACCCTCATCCTCTCACTGGGGTCCTTTCCTGTGCCAGGGTCTCTTTCTGTCTCAGCCAAGAGCCAGGGCTCCTCGCAGAGACATCTTCCCATGATAGCTGGACCAGAAAGCAAGAAAGAAGAGAGAGGAGGAGGAGGGAGAAGGCAGGGGGAGAGAGGAGGAATATGGAGGGAGAAGACCAGAGAGGGGAGGAAGGCACGGAGGCAGCAGATGGCAGAAGCAGCAAAGCAGGAGGCCCAGCAGGCTGCGTGGTCTCCCCTCCTGCCCCAGCCTGGGGGTCCTGCACACGGCCATCTGTCCGCTCTGGGTGTCTGCAGGAAAATAAAGAAGTGAAGTAGCAACATTGAGGGTGACTATGGTTGGGCCTTGATGAAAAAGCAGTAACCTGTCTTGGGTTGTCTCTCCCCTTCCTCTTGGGGTCTGTGCCCTCTGCCGGCCCCACCAGCTCCAGGCCTCACTGTAGGGGTGACCCTTCCTCAAAGCCAGGCCCTGGGGTCTGCCCTTCTCTCTACTTCCTAGAGCTTCACCCTCAGCTGGGGAGGGAGAGGTGAACCAACAGGTGTGGCCTGGCACATAGAACAAACACGTGCATGCCACAAGCGAATGGAGACCAGGGCAGATGCGTGCCCGGCAGCAGAGCTTGGGGCTTAAGGACAGCCCTTTGAGTCAGGCAGGCCTGGGCTCAGGCCCTCACTCCCACACTTTCTAGCCATTGGAGAAAGTCACAAAAACTCTCAAAGCCACAGTTTCTTGACCCATAAAGTGGAGTACTCTGACCTCTCCGGTCGCTGGAAAATTTAAATGAGAAAATGTGTGAAAAACTCTTGATAACTCAGTTAAGCGAATAAATGTTTTCATGTCCACATGCATCTTTGCCAGGGTTTTTGTGAGGTTCAAGGTCAGCAAAGGACATAGTTAGGCCAGGCCAGTGTGAGATGCTGAATCGCAAAGCCCCTAACTCAGCACTAGGGAAAGGTAGGCCGTGCCAGGGCCTTGAACGGCAGCTCAGAAGAGACTGCAAAAACCATGGAGTTCATCCTTATGCTTTTCCTTTTAAAGTTATTACACGAGTAACTAACATGTATAGCAACAAAAGGAAGAATAGTATAGGCAAAAAGTAGCCACAATTCTACAGCCTAGAAAGAATCATTATTAATCCTTTGGCATATATCCTTTCATATTTTTAGGGATTATAGAGTTAAAATGAGATTCCCCCAAAAATGTTATAGCATACGTACTGTTTTGGATATATATTGTGAAACTGTTTTTCCATGCACCAGGATATGGTGATAAAGTTTCATGTCAGTAATAATATCCATCAGCACCATCATTTTAAGGATTGCACACGGTTCTCTGTGATGGACACGTCATGCTTTGTTTAACAGATCCCCTATTGTTGGGCATTATGCTGTTCCCAGGTCTCGGGGTCCCTGTCTGACGAGTGGATGGCTTCAAACTGACTCGGATGCAAAGGCTTAGCTGACAACCGATTGTACTCAGAGTCCTCATGTCCCAGCCTCTCTTCCCCTGCTGTCTTGGGATCATTTGCAGGAAGCATCTTCATGCTCCAGGGTGGACTCTGCAACCATTGAGAAGTGACGGGGAGCGGGGAAGCGTGGGGCGGAAGCAACATTCACTGAATTCCCTGCACGCTCCTGGAGCTTCACAAACATCAGAGCTTCACAAACGTTCTTAACTCTCACAGCAACCCTATCTGTCAGGGATGATCCCCATTTTACAGAGGAGAAAACGGAAACTTACAGGTTAGTGACAGCCAGGCAGTGGGCACCTCGGGCCTGATCCCCCTGTGTCTGCCTGCACAGCTTGCATCTGTTGTGTCTGCCCCACCCTCACCCCCAGCACTGCCCATCACTGGGGGGGCGGGGGCGGCTGGGGCAGGGGGGTGCTGTGAGTTGCAGAGTGAGAGAGGGCAGGCACCAGGGAGTGGCGGGGTTGGGGTCGGGAAAGGTAGCAAGAGCCTCTCTGACAGTGGGCTCATGCGTCCTATAAACCCAAATCCTCAGGCCAGGCCTGGAAGTCCCCACAGAGGGGCCAGCTCACTGCTTCCCAATTACTCACACTAAGCCTCTTTTATCAGTTTTCATCCCATGAACTATTCCCAGCCACCTGGCAGGAAGCCGTGTCTAACTCTGCCCACTCCTTCACCAAGGAGGGGACAGATTCCACCTTCACAGTGTCTCTTCCCCTAGGCCACCTCTCTGGTTATAAGCCCTTGAGATTTTTGCCTGGGCAGTGCTACAGCCTCCTAATGGTCTCTGGGACCCCCACTTCCCGCTCCCTGATCCCCCTTTCACTGCCACCAAGGCCATTTGCTCAGAACACAGGTGGCATCACCTTGCTCCCCCCTGGCAGCCTGTGATGGCTCTCTATTGTCTACAGAACTGCCCCAGTGCTAGTGTCCAAGCCCTCCGCGGGGCTGTCCCAAACCTCTTCGCCAGCCCATTCCCCAGCGTTTCTCTCCACACCCATGTGATCCGGCCCCCTGCCATACCCTTCAGGCCAGACCCTGTGGGGCTCGAGCTCCCACCTCTCTGCTTCCCCCCAAATGCTGCTCTTCCCGCCTCTGCCCTTTGAGAACTCCTCATCCTCTGAGGTCAAGCTCAAATACAACCTCATCTATGAAGCAGAATTATAATCGCTGCTCACACACCCCCTGCACACAATCTTTGTATATCTAGGTGACCACAGCTAATGTTCATCAAACCCTTCTATGTGTTAGTCTCTGTTCATGTATTAACTCTCCTACGAGGTGGCTTCTAGTATCATTCTTACTTTACATTTGAGGAAACTGAGGTCCAGCAAGGTTAAGAGACTTATCTGAGGTTGCACAGCCAGGAAGTGGTGGAGCTGGGATCCAAACCCAGGCAGACTGGATTCTGAGCTCACACTCCAAACCGCCAGGCAGCACTGCCCTCAGGCATGGCGTGTGCCTCACTCCGCAGTGTGTTATGGTTGCTGTGTCCATGTCTGTCTTCCCCACTGCACTTGCCTTGAGGACCAGAACTGTCTTCCCTGTGTCTACTAAACTGTGCAGCACCCAGCACAACTGAGTGCGGGAAGACCA